GGGGGGACGATAGATGTGAGTGTGATTCCCCTGCGTGTCTGTATGCAGGTTTACGTGACAGCGCTGAGCATCACTACAATGACTATGACAAAGACATCAAGACCATTGGCTGATGCATGGTGGATGGATGGATGGATGGGTGGATGGATGGATGGGCGGGTCTGTCGATGTCCTCTGAGGGTTTAAGAAACAGTGATGGGTGAGCAGTTGCCCTCCACACTCATGGATGGCGTTGCGGAAAGGACGAATCGATGCTTTTGTTCATGCTAGATGCTGTGCCGCATCCCTCGTGACGATTGTGCACATCTCTGACTGGTCGCACCGTTCGGTTTACTTCAACTGAGCGGTGCACCAGGTCAAGGCCACGGCACGAATCGACACGACAGACGTGTGCACACATTGCGTGTGATGGCCGTTTAGACACCCCTCAAAGATTCGTCCACCATCACTTGAACTGAATTCATGAGTGCACAAATAAATGTCTGTCTCGATTGACCGACCGCCGTCACTACTTCCTCCGTCTCTGATGCCTCTCCCCTACTAGGCCAACTCAAACTGACCATCCATCAAAGCTCTCCCTCCCTCCCTCCTTAACACACACCCATCCACCCATCCCATCCACCGCACACGGCACCATTCTTGTAGCTACAATCGTGTGAGGTCTTCCCTTTGGCCCGGCTTGACCCGGAGTTTGTCCTTGTCCGTGGTCTCCTCCTTCCAGAGCAGGGCGACGTCGTGCGGGTCGGCCTCCTCGCGCCACCTCTGTCTTTCGTGCCACTCCTTGAGGCCCTTGGCCGTGGGGAACATGAGGGCCTCGGCCCCGCTGGAGCCGATCGTCTCCATCAGCAGGTGCGGCACCACCGGGTCCTTCCACCGCCGCGCCCGCACCAGGATGTACCGCTCGTCCACACTCGGCATCCGACCCCATCTCTCGATGAACGACTTGGCGAAACCGTCCGTCAAATCCTCACGCACCTGCATTGCAACCGTCCGTCGTCAGACACAGACAGACAGACAGACAGATGAGTACAGTACATGTGGACGTCGGCCCAGCGACTTACCTGTGGTTTGAGTCCGACGGTCAGCAGGTGCCTTTTAAGGTTCAGGTACTCATCGACGTCGTCATCGGGGTCCCTTTCCTCCTCGGTCAGCTGCTCGTCGAACCACTTGTCGGCCAGAATGAAGAGCCCGTTCTTCTTGAGCAGGTCGTGCACGACTTGGAAAAAGTAGGCGGCGTCGCAGAGGTGTCTTGCCGTCTGGATGCAGGTGATGACGTCGAACGAGTAGGGCGGCAGGAGGTCGTTGATCCGGAGGGCGTCGGCGCAGAACCACTCCAGGTTGGGTTCGCCCTTGTACTGCTCTTTGCAGAACTGGATGCACGTGCGCGAGAAGTCGACGCCCAGGACGCTCCGTGCGCCGAGGTGCTTGAGCATGTAGTGGGCTCCGCCGCCCTTGAAGCAGCCCACATCCAGAACACGCTTGTTCTTGACGAGCGAAATGGTCTTGGGCAGAGAGCTTGCCCGCTTGTCGCCACGCTTGACGGCCTCGACGTACGCCGGGTTCATGGCCGTGCAGCAGCGGTGGTACAGCTGGGCGCCGTAGCGAGCCTTGGTGGCCTTGTACGCCTTGTGAGAGGTCTCCTGCATCTTGCGGTCGGGCACAGGCGGGGAGTAGCCGAAGTTGAGGAAGACCTCGTCCTTGTTATTGCGGCTGCTGAGTGCGGCCACGCTGAAGAAGAGCTTGTTGCGGAGCGCACGCATGGTCTTCTCCCACGAGTTGTGGAAGTGCAGCCGCTGCGCCCGGTCTGGCATCTTCTTGAGCAGCTCGATGGCCTCATCCAGCTCCTGGACCTCCTTCTGACGGTTCTTGTACGGCCGGCCCCAGTGGTCGCTGGCTTTCGCGTCGCGCACACAATCCACGACGTCAGGATCATCGCGGAAGCGGAACTCATTCATATCCACCGTGCTGTTAAGCGCCTTGACCTGGTGACGACTCGCACTCGTGTGCAGGGCGCGCCGGCAGGTGGTGGGAGGGGGAAACGGCCAGGGCAGACGCTGCAGCGGCCTCCGAATCATGATGCTCAGCCGATAAGATCAGAAGGCCATCGGTGGGGGACTGAGTCGGCAGCAGTCGTCAAATCAGCTGTTCCAGCGGGTTTATCCGGTGTTGGTTGGTTGGTTAGTCTGTTTAACCAGACTGTCGGTGTTGACGTCACAAACCTCCAAGAAATATGGAAGGTTTCAAGCTCGCAAAACACGCAGGTTGCAGGCTGAATGAACCTTTCTTTGGACGCTCGGGTGCCTTTTGAACCCTCCTAGGATCGGCATCCTCAAAGCATGGATACCTCCAACACTTCCGCCGCTGTACCTGCATCTCTGTTCTCTCCGGCCCCCTCTGCCCACATACCGGACTTGCAGACACAGAACCGGCAGCTTCACCGTGTTCTTCGGTCGTCAGATGCGCTTGTACGGCAGCAGACACGGCAGATTGCAATGCTGCAACAGCAGCTATCCTCTGCAGCAGCCAAGGAGGAGTATCAGCAGCGACGCTCCAAGACTCTTCCTTCTTCGGGGACGCCAGGACGAATCGCAAGACGGCAGGCTGAGGAGGACGGCAATGCTATGGATGGGAGGATTCAAATGGCCAATGAGTCGGATGAAAATGACCTCGTCGAGGCTAGTCGTCAGCTGAAGGACGAGCTCTCGGCATCGTATACCAAGTGTGACCAGCTGGAGGACAGCCTGCTAGAGAAGACACAGGCCCTCATCGAGAAGACTCAGGAGGCAAACAATATCCGGCGCGAGTACATCCAGTTGGGCTCTCAATACAAGGCGACAAGACAACAGAACGACGCGAAAGAGCGGCGATGGAAGCAGACACTGGCCTCCCTCGAGGAAGACTTCCGCCAACAGGAGAACACGACTCAGAAGCAAACCACTCATCGAGGTCGCGTGAATGCGCTTCCAGAGCTGCAGCATCAACTGGACATGACAAAAGCCTGCCTGCAGGGGGAGAGAGATGCCCATCATGCGCTGAAGGCCCTCCATGAGCGCTTGAAGGACGATATGGCGGTGCTGAGGGGTGAGCTTGCGGCTACTAAGGAAGAGACCGACAGGGGTTCCGTCGCCATCCAGAACATCAGCATACTCGAGGCTACACTGCAGCAGTGCCACAGCGAAATGGTGGGGCAGGCCTCTATGGTGACAACGCTTGAGAGAGAGGTCGCGGAAAAACTCAAGGAGCTTTCAGAGGCTACCGAGACAAATGCACGGCTGAAGCGGATTCAGACGTCGCTTTGCGGCGAGCTAGAGGCTATCAAGAAGAAAGAAGAGACAACCCGGGAAGCCCTGGCAAAGGCGGACCGTGCTTTGGAGCAGGCCACAGCATCGCACCAGGAAATGCAGGAACACCAACGAGAAGAAAACGCCCGTCTCTCAGACACAGTGGCTCACCTGCAGAGGGATATCACAGCCAAAGACAAGACATTGGCATCGAAACTGGAAGAGCTGACCAGGACATCATCTGCAAAGGAGGCACTGTATGAGCGGGAAAAGGCCCAATGGAAGGAAGCTCTCCAAGGGGAGGACGCTCAGCATGCAGACGCTCAGCATGCAGAGGAGAAGAGACGCCTTGAGAGAGGGTGGCAAGGGCGGATGCAAGAACTGGAAAAAGACCAGAGGAGAATGGCAAGTGCGGCGGAAGGAGACATGGCTGAATTGAAGCGACAGATCGCATCCTTGGAAAACAAAGCCGCCCAACTTGAGGAAGAGAAAAGGAGGTTGACTACAGACCGTGAAGACCTCTTAGTTAGATTCAAGCAAGCTGAGGCACAGATAGCTTCTCTGGTGGAAGAGAGGGAGTTCGCAAGTAGAGCAGCGGCGGGAGAGCTCAGTGGGAAGAATGCTGAGACTGCAGCGCTAATGGTGCAGGCATTTCTTTTTCTTACTGCTGCTCATTACGCATCTCTGTTTCCTTTGTTGCAGGTTCAGCTAGCCGAGACACGACAGCAGCTGGAAGAGGCACATGAGGCCGTCAAGAAAACCGAGGAGAGGGATGCCCAGCACGACAAGGACAAGAAAGCCCTCGAGAAGGCTCTTGCAGACGAGAGACACCAGCAGGAGTCTCACGAGGCAGAACACGAGAGAGAAATATCACAACTGACCGAAGATCTGAAACACGTCAAGGTAGGGGGATGGATGGGGCATGCACGCAGACAAGTGACGGACGGGTGATTCTGGGTGCTGATATATGTGTGTATGTATGCATGTATGTAGGAGGTGTCGTCGGAGAGGGAGAGAGCCCTGTCTGATGCACACAAACAGCTGCAGGCATTCACCGTGGACTCACAGACAGCCGAGGCCACCATTCGGGTGCGTATACGGCCGTATAACACTGACAAAACGTGTCCATCCCCTCCTTTCTGTCTGGCGATTCAAGATCTGTATTCGCAGAACGCCATGGCCGTGCAGACGATAGACACACTGCAGAACCAAGTGCAGAAGCTGCAGGAGCAAATTGCTGAGGCACAACAACAGCAAATTGCTGAGGAGCAAATTGCTGAGGTCCATGAAGGAGTAGGGAGGGCTGTGGATGATGCGGAGCGGCCCCCTGATGCATCGCGACGGGTGGACCGGGCGACCAGTGCAATCTATGCTGATGAGAAGCTGCCGTCCTTCCCGTCCATGGATGAAGTCGCGGAGCCTCCATGTGCTGACAAGGTAGCCCAACCACACACACGCGCGCGCGCGAGACACGCACGTGGGTGTGTGTTGGTCTTCAGGTTGAGAGCAAAAGTGTGCCTTTGCGCCAGGCGGAGCGCACGCGCTCCAACAGCACGCGAGACAGCGAGGCTGACGCACTCTTCCAGCAGGAGCAGCGGAAAATGATCCGGAGGCAGGCTGAGCAAAGAGCCAGGCTGCAGTACCTGGAGACCGTCATGCAGGCCAGCGAGCGGCAGCCTGAACCTGAAACGACGAGCGACGACATCATGGTGGGGAGGCGGCTGCCTCTGCGTGTGGGTGAGGAGGTGTTGGAGGCCATACCCATCCCGTTGCGCGTGGCATGGGATGACTCGCAAGCTGCTGAGGATTTTTTGGCGTTCGAGGCACCGCCCATGAAGACGAAGCAGCGTCGACGCAGCACGAGGAAAGGTTGATTGGCACTCCTTCGGCCGACCGACACAGAGGGCAGCCAGCCGGCGAGTCAGCCTTGGGGGTGTGGGTGCAGGGAGAGACAGGCAGGAAAGAGGCTCTCTGTTGGCTTGCTTTGGGTACGTCAGACAGGGAGGAGGGTGTGAAGGAGAGGAGTTGAGTGTGTGATGGTAGGGAGGGTGTGCGTCTATGTGGTAGAGTTTAATATTAGTGGGGGGTGTTTCACACATTTGTTGTGTATACGTGTTGGAAGCGAGACAAACAGTCACACACACGATTGCGTACTCACTGTATGATGACGTGTAATGTGTTGATGGTGCATGTACGGACGCATCCACATAGTCTTAAAAGCAAATAGAGTCTTTCAATCAGCGTACACTGACACGTCTCTTCTCAGCCTCACTTGCTGGGGCGTGTGCGCCCATGTGCCCACCCTGCACTCCACGTCAGATCAACACACGGCCGTACCAGTGTGCTATCTTGCGTGAAGAGCCGGGACGGCACAGACGAACCCCCCGGCAGCAAGACAAGGTCATCTCGAGTACCGTCACGCGACAGGACACCCGCATTGTTCTCGTCAATCAGGTTCAATCACTCACAATCGCTCTCTGCCCCTCTCATCTCGTCACACTCTCTCACCTCATCTCTCTTGATCGGTCACGCAGGCAGGCAGGCAGACAACCAACAAAAGACCAGTCAGAAAACAGTCAGAAAACAAGCCCATCAAGTATTGTCGACCGACTTCCTTTTCCCCACTTCTCTCCCCGTCTCCACTCGTGTCCCGCATGCCGGCATGCAATGCAGGCCCTCGAACGCCGCATTCCTTGATGTCAACTCAAAAATGGTGACCATGGCCAGATCTGGCGGCCGGTTGGTCGGTCATCATGAGACCCGACGAACCGAACCGTCGATGAGGCCGGAAAAAGCAGAATGCGCTTCGAGCCAGCCCGCCCGCCTGCCTTGCCAAGCCAATCCAATTCAATTCAATCCAATTCACCCGTCCGTCCGTCCGTCCGTCAGTCAGTCAGTCGATCGACCGCCAACGTCCCACCGAGACAGCCACGAAACTGTATGCACGCACGAGACAGGACAAGACGAAGACGCCCCTCCCAGACACGACACGACACGACACGACACGACACGACCGACACGCACAATCCATTCATCCATCCATCCACGAACAAACGCCAGGACATTGCTGGGGCGACAGGGAATGAGTGCATGGGGAGGACAAACCTCCCCTCGGTGAGTGAAGGAGTGAGTCGGCAAGTGAGCCACAAAAGGCATAAAGGGGGGGCCGGCGAGGGAAGGAAAAGTGGGTGACGGACGCGCGGAGGAAAAAGTCCTACCTGTAGGCTAAAATTGGGAAAGGGAGCGAAGAAGGAGAGACATGAGCCCGGCATCATGCGTTCACCCGTCCCCCCTCCCCTCTCCACTCACTCCGGGAAAAACGTCACTCGATCGCGCTCTGTCGACCACACAGGCATCCAATCCAGGTTGCAGAGATGGATACACACAAAGTCATAAGTGTTTGTGTAGTGTATGGGTCCGGGAAAATCCATACTCTCGTTATGAGTCAGTCGTGTTGCGTTGCCTTATCTCTCTCCAGACACACAGACAGACAGATATACGACGAACGGAGAAAGTATCCGGCGACCGACCGACCGAGCGACCGACAGTCAGCACCCACCAAACATGTCAGTCAGCAAGTACGGACATCGACCAACGGGGCAGATAGAAAGAGAGGGATACACGCACATGTACGAGTGGGATGGCATGGCATGGCATGGCGAGATTGGAAGAATGAAGGCGTGGAGGCGAGTGTGCAGCATCAAACCGCATCAAACGACCGACCGACCGACCGACAGCAAACCGGGAATGTACGCAAGCATAGAGGACAACAAGCAGAACTCTCGCCCCCCCCCCGACAGTCAGTCAGCCAGACAGCACGCAGCGACCGCATCAGCAATAAGAGCAAGCCCTGCCCATGATTTAAAACCCGTACGTACCGTACGCACATGTGTGGTTGACTCACTTCCCCGCCCCCTCGTTGTGGTGTGTCTGTCTGTCTCTAGGTGCTCGGAAAGGAGAAAGGCACCTCTTCGGTGGTGTGTTCAAAAATGAGGAGCGAGCCCGTGTGTTGTGATGGTCCCCCTCCCTCCCTGTGTGGTCCCCCTCCCTCCCCCAGTCACTCGCCCGGCCAGACAGACAGGCAGACAGCCAGCCAGATATACATAGAAAGGAACGCTCTCTCGGATGGGTGTGGTGCACCAGATAGGTCAGAAAAATACGTAGCAGTGACTTACATACATACACACATCTGATCTCACACACTCATTCATTCATTCACACACACACACACAGACCCATACAGACCCCCTGCCGCCCATCCCCCACAAGCTGACACCCATGCGGGACACGACACATCCGCGTCAACGCCCCCACACAAACAGCCAGGTAAAAAACTGGCTGTCTGTGGGCGTGGAGACGTCGGCATCGACACCCGACCGCTTATCACTAAGTTGGACATCAAGCAGCCGGCCGACCACTCATGCATCCATTCATTCATTCATTCGCGAGGAAGAGAAAGACAAAGCGAAGTGTCAATGCCTCCTGCGTCCCTCGTTCGTCTACGTGAGCTGTGCCTGACGCTTCGCTGAGCCACGTTGCGTCAACCACAGCGCGCGCAGTCAAGAAAGGGACGCAGCGAGGCATTCATCGCTTGGTTGATTCCATCCATCCATTCAGTTAGTGCTGTTTGTCGGTCAGGCGGCCCAGCGCAGTGGTTCATGGAGGGCGTCAATCACGTCGGTAGGCAGGTAGTTGTGTATGTGAGTCAGTGTGTGTGGAGCTATGTACGTACGTATGTACCCTACCTAAGTATACACACACACACACACATACATAAGGGTGGGTGTGTGGGTGTGTGGCTGGCCGGTGGATCGGAAGGGCCCCTGTGGACCTGGAGGGACGGACCGACAGGCCCGCTTCCCTCCCCTCCTCACCGACAGCCACCACCGTGACCACCCACCATATATAGAGTACAGCGGCTGCAGCAGCAGAGAAGACGGAGGGACAGACGGAGGGAGAGATGAGGCAAACCTCGCGCATGCGTCATTCATTCACAAACACTCGATCGTCTTGACAGATAGATAGGCAGACAGGCAGAGGCGGATGCATGCACTCATCGTCCTGTTTGCTCTGTGTGTGTGTGTGTGTGTCTGTTCCGAGGCGTGCAGTGAGTGCATCACACTATGTCTCAGTGAGTGAGTGAGTGAGGGAGTGCACGCGTCAAGGCTCAATCAATCAGGGCAGTGCCTTTCATCACCGAATGCACCGTGAGATAGTGGCAGCGAGGATCCGGGACTCAGTGGGGATTGAAACCACCCACCCCACCCCTGTTCTTGGATCTGCATCATGTATGTGTGTATGTATCTCTTGCCTCCTCCTCTGTCTATCTGCCGCATCCATACACATCCAACCCAACTTTGTCATCCGGTTCACTCGTGTCAGTCAGAACCAACCAGTCAGTCAGTCAGTCAGTGACATCTGCATGGAGGCATGGGAGGTAGCCAATCATCATCCAATCCATGGAGGCAGGCACGTGCACGTCAGCATCGGTCCGAGTGCATGTGGCTGGCTTTTTCAGGGTGGGAAAGACAAAAAGACTGAGTGTGGGAAGAAAAAGAGTATGTCGACGCAGGCAGAGCACCACAAAACAAAACGAAAGGCAGTCAGTCATCTACGGCACATTAGCAGAGAGAGAGAGAGAGACAAAGCATGAGAATCATGGCACCAAAGACACCACACCGAAGCACACACGCACCGAAAGAGAGAGGGACCGAGAGAGAGAGCACGAGAATGCAACACAACAGAATCAGGCAGACAGCAGAGAAATTGCCATAGATACGTCCGGCAATTCGATTCCGCGCCATCCACTGCTTAAAAGAACCCTCCCACCGATTCATACCCATACAGATAGAAAACACACACGTCATGAGTGCGCGCACACACGCAAAGGCAAAGAGACAGACAGACAGACAGACAGACGGGGTGGAAGGAAACAGTGCGGCGCCGCGCCGCGCCCTCCATGTCGATTGAGAGAGGCAGACAGTCAGCCAGCCAGCCAGTCAGCCAGCCAGTGACTGAGTGAGTGAGTGGTGGTGGGAAACACACAGACAGATGAGACAGATGCAACAGATTGACTGGTGGATCAGAAGGCAGCACACCCACACCCACATAAGGACCGACCAACACACACGCACATCACATGGACGTGACGTGCAGATGAATGAATGAATGAATGGCTCTCTCGCTGCGATGCATTCAATCAGACAGACAGACAGACAGGAGACTGACTGATATACGAGGTACGTATGTCATGACATCACTCATCACTCATTTATCCACTTACTTCACCACGCATGTGGGCAGCACGATCCTCCGTCACGCGGCCGACCGGCCGACCGGCCGCGCTGAGAGCGATATGGAAACACCCCCCGCTGACCCACCATCAACATCACCATCACACACGGACATACATCAACAAACACATGGGCACATGTATACATGTACACGTGACGTGATATATAGGCAGATAGACTAGACAGATCGGGGAGGGAGTGACGAGTCAGTCAGTCAGTCAGTCAGCCGTTCGTTGTGTGTGCATGTGCAGGATGTGTGTACGTACAAAAGCCAGCCACCCAGCCAGGGGCGTCGGCACCTGCTCCCCTGCCACTCATCACCCATCGAATGATTCCATCCATCCATCCATCAAACAGACAAGCGAGTGGGCCGCTTAGTGGGTGGGGCGTTGGTATCTCTCTCCATCTACGGGCGATCGACGCGCGCTCAGCATAGATACAATGGGAACACAGAAACGATCACACAAACCTCCCACCTTCCTGCCTGACTCGGACCCAATTAGTGGGGAAAATCAAAACGACACGAAAAGAATGAGACAGACAAAGGACAAAGGGAAGCGTCGACGGAGGGAGGGAGGGAGGGAGGGAGGGAGGGAAGGGAAAACAACCCGGCCTCCGCCCCTCTCACTCACCAGACACCAAACACCGCACACGCCCGACACACACACCACACCACACCTCGCCGCACCACCGACAAACCATCATGGATGCGATGCCACGTGGATGCACACACGACAGCAAATACGACCATCCATCCATCCATCCATCCACGTCTGCGTATGTATGTGTGTACGTGTGTAGGCAGGAAAACCCATGTGAGTGAGGTGAGTCGTGCAACCGCACCTCCCTCCCTCCCTCCCTCCACCATCCACCATATTGTCATGTGTTGGTTGGTTGGGATGAGAGCAGGGAGGGGGTGAGGGTGGCATGGCATGGTGTGGCATGGCATGGCATGTACCTAGCTCCCTCTCTGAGAAGCGGAAGGCAGAACGAGAGGGGCGGAAAAATCGAAATCGACTGTCTGTGTCTGTCTGGGTGTCCGTCTCTGACTTCTCGGCAAAACGTGGCCAGTCACTCACTCACTCACAGGATAATGTGTGATGGCGTGACATGCAATGGAATGGAATGATATGATATGATATGCAACGGCATGTGTTGGTGTGGTGTGGTGTGTGGCACAGACATGGACGTGGACATGCACATTTGTGGATGTGATGTATGTGTTGATGGATGGCACGCCCGAAAGGCGAGCAGAAAAGCGTGTGTGTGTGTGTGTGTGTGAAGGTGTGACATGGGATGATATGAGTGGGTGTAGGCGTGAAAACTGTGGGCCAATCAATCAAAAGGCTGAAAAGGCCCGCTGTCAGAAAAACAGCCACGCGACCGCCCGAACCAACCACAGCGCCCACCACAGCCACCGAACAGCCGACTGACCACCGACTCCATCCATCCATCCATCGCTGCCGTGCCGGGCGCGCCATTGTCCTCCTTAAATGGAGGCAGGCAGGCAGGCAGGCCTCCGGACAGGCGGAGAGAAAACCACGCAAACACACAATCACACCTGCCCCCACCCCCTCCCTCTCCATCTCCCAACACAGTACAACAAACGCACAGGCGGACGGCTGGCTCCTTCCCGACCCCAATCAGACCACCAACACCAACCAACCGACAAACCAACACACACGTGGCGCCGTGCCTCTCTCCATCCATCCATTCATTCATTCATTCGCCCCCCCCCCCTCCCTCCCCTGCCCTCTCAGGATGCAGATGGACACACCGATGTAATATGTGTACCGATGGTTGGGTGGATGGATATGGACGTACGTGTGGATACTCACACAGACCGGCAGGCACGCAGGCAGGGATGGATGGATGGGTGGGTGGGTGGGTTGGATGCAGGCGGGGGCGGGCGGGCGGGTGTCTGTCTGTCTGTCTGTCTGTCTGACTCCTCCTCTCGCGAGAAAATTACGAAAGAAAGGTGGCTGCCAGGGGGTCGATGGATGCACACCGACCGCAGCTCCCTCGCTCAATCGCTCGAACACTCGATTCGATGACAACAAGCGAACACATAGACGCCTGCCCGTGCCCGTCTGCACAAAACAGACAGACAGGAGAGAGAGCATATCAGTGAAATCGTGAGATCGTCCGGGTGGGTGATGTCAGCATCCATATCCAGCCATTCATCCATCCATCCAGCCATTTGTAAACTGACCTGGATGAGTGTGCAAGTCAGTCATGTCAGTCAGTTCCTGCTGGCGTCAAAGTGCGACCAAGCAGGCATGCGCGAGCCACGGAACTCCACCAACTGAACAATGAGACATACATACGGAGCACACAATCAATACACACAGTGCAGTGCACTCACAGGATACACACACTGTCCTCTTCCTTCCTTGCCTTGCTCGTTTCCCCCTCACCGGTTTCTGGTGTGGCCTGTTGCTGTGACGGTTGTTGCTGTAGCATCCCCTCTCGTACGCCCCATGCTGCGGCTGCGGCTGGTGGTGGGGCTGATGGTGGTGGGGCTGGTGGTGCCCTTCCTCCGCCCGGAACTGACGCGACATCGCCATCGCCACAAACTCGCTCCTCTCCATTGACGGACCGCCCTCGGGTCCGCAACCCGCCGCACCAGCACCAGCACCAGCGCGACCACTGCCCTCATCTATCTCGCCCTTCGGATGGCTCAGCCACAGCGTCCCCCGCGGCCCCGCCAGGCTGTCGAGGAACGGCAGGCTGACACTCACCCCGCCCGCACCGCCGCCCTCTGTGCCCTCACGCGTGGAGCCCTCACTCGCCGCCTCAGCGTCGAGCAGCTCCGGCTCGGCCTCGGCAACGCTCGAACGCGACGAGGACTCATCGACCCATTGCGAGTGGTGGGAGAAGAGAGGCTCCGGGGGCGGGGTGCCGAGCTCCGGGGACATGAATCGTGGTGGATGGGTGGGGATGGGGGGCGGCCGGCTGACCGACGTGCTGGCGGTCGAAAACTGCGAGGCGAGCGAGGGCGAGAGCATCCCGCCGCCATTGGTGTGGACGCCTCCGCCACACTGGGGACGCGAGACACCCTGAGGCTGCTGCTGGTGGTGCTGGTGATGGCCGCTGCTGAAGAGGCCTCCCTGCACGCTCGCCAGGTTCATGGGCTGTGCCACCACATCTTGTGTGGTGGGGTAGCTGTGCGTCGGGGCGGCGGGGACCGGTGCGGGTGTGGGTGTGGGTGTGGGTCGCGGCGGGGGGTAGGGGGGTGCGACGACAGCTGTGACAGTGGCGGCTGCGTTTCCATTCCCATGGCCGTTGCCAGATGTGAGGGCGGTGATGGCGTCGACGGAGAAGAGGCTGCATGGCGACTCAGCTCCAAACCCAGGACTTGACGTCACCGACGAGTTGGCCCGCTGGCGGGCCGGCAGCGCCGACACATTCACCAGCGGCCGGGAGCCGTCGAAAGGGCTCCAGGGGTTGGGCGTCATCCCGCTGTTGCTCGCATTGGCGAACTCACGCAGAGTCGCCCCTCCGGCAAACGTCGCATGCGGCTGCAGGCGCGTGTTGTCGACGGGGAGGTTCTGGCTGGCCTCGAGTGTGGCGCGTGGCCTCAGCTCCATCTCGCCGTGTGCGTATCTGCAGTCGGGGTTTCTGCACTCGCCGCGTTGCCACTTGGGGCAGATGGCGGTCTTGAAGAGGTCGGGAGTGGCGCGGAGCTCCTCGGCCGAGTGGGCGAAGTTGCAGAACTGGTCGTTGCAGCCGCCCTCCATGAAACGGACACACATCTTGGTCTTGCGCAGATCTGACGGATCCATCACCACACACACACACACACACACACATACACAGAGAGAGAGAGAGAGAGGCACATCCATCCATCCATCGCTCCGTCTGTCTGGCTGTGGTATGGCGTGTTGTGCTTTGTGTTGTGTTGTGTTGTGTTGTGTTCCAGGTCAGTCAGGTCCAGCCACGCACCGGGCATGGGTCTGAGTTCGTCGGTGCTGTGGGCGTATTTGCATTTGTCTCCCTTCTTGCACTTGCCCTGCGGCTGGAAGGGACACAGCTTCGTCTTGGCATAGCGCTCTATCAGGATGTGCTCCTTCGGCATGGCTGGGGAGCTACTGGGAGCGCGGCAAGGCGCGACGAGCTGCAACTACTGACCCTCCTAACCTGACAGAGGCGACAGACAGACACAGACAAGCAGGCCACATTTGTCAACGAACACGTGTCGTCTGGTCGTGAGCGGAATGTGCGTACCGTCGAGCGGACGCCCCGTGAAGCCTTCAGCTTCGCTACCTTGATGCGAAAGGGATACCCACACCAGTATACCTAGGTACCTACCCACACCGAAAACCACACAGAGATAGACACAACATCTCGCTCCGGTCGTCACGCACACGCACCCACACGCCTCCCCAGCCCTCCCCGCCCCTCACACCCACCCCCTCTGCCTAGATCTACCCCTGTGGCCCCCTCCCGCCTCCGCTTCCTCGATCGACCCTCCCTTTTGGGCTCACCCGTCAGATCTCTCAGTCGTGGGTGTGCGTACGTACGTCGGACCTCTGATGACCGCTTCCTTTCGTCCGGTAGGGGCCGAGCTCACCAAATCAGAAAACTGTGGCTTGTCCCTCGACAAATCGCTAGCGCGCCATGGCGGGGAACACGCAGCGGGGAAAAAGGGGAAAGGCTCACGTACAGGAAGAGCGGCAGAGCCTGTGGTGACGCAGGAAAACCGCCGAGGGAGGAAAATAAGCCAGAGCTGTGGCCCTGTGAAACCGTTCTTTTTTCCAAGCTCGCTTTCGGAGGATTGAAATCTGCGCAAGCACTCGATGGCATCTCGTCTTCCCAAGTCGGTCAGCAAGCGCAGATGCTCACAAAAAACTGAATGTATTGCCTTCTCCGGACATCAGATCTGTTGGTGACGCAGTTCGTTGAGGCCACACACAGCCAGTCGGCTTCCTGCCTGCAGCCCCTCACATGCCGCTCATGACGCGTGCACGGTGATGGGCGTCATGGCATCTTTCTCTCTCCATCTCGCGGAGCAGCCGGGTTGAGTAAGTAGGATGAATGTGGTGGCTGGCTAAGCACTGACGACAGGCATCTCCAGGTGTGGGCAGGCAGACAAGAAGGCAGGCAGGCAGGCAGGCAGGCGGGCGGGCAGGGACAGGAGGTCTTCCGGATCCACGTGTGTCGTGTCGTGTCTGCAGGTTTTTGTGCTGGGCTCCTGCCGCAGCGACAGACTACGCGTGTGTGCGTCTGATGGGTGGGCTTAGTGTGGGTGCCTTGAGTTGCAAGCATCTGCCAGCTATCCTTGGCGCTTCTGCCACCTCATCGCCCTCTCTAATGGTACGCAGACACACAGACGGGTCGGGTGGTGGCTCACTGCCTGCTGATGGATGGATGGATGCGTGTCCTTGTCTGGCCCTGCAGGTGGCGTGTCTACGCGTGGCACTCCCCAATCTCCCCTAACCGCCGCCACTGCCAATGTGCGGGGCTGACAGGCAGCACAAGCTCCCGCCCTTCACCCCCCCGCCCATCATGCATCTGCCGCAGCGGCCGTTGCAGCAGCAGCAGCAGTGCTCCCTTCAGTGTGGCCAAAGGACCAGAGGGGCTGCCAGCCCCAATATGGTACGTGTGCTGACTCGGCATCCAGTTCAGTAACATGAAGCGCGAGCAACACGTACACACACAACATGCACTCGACCACGCATGTGTGTCATTGACGTAGCCTGGCCAGGCCTGACCTGACCTGACCTGACCTGACCGCGTGTGTGTGTGTGTGTGTGCGTCAGGGACTCGCATGGTGAGCGTGCTCAAAGCGCTGGAGCGTGACGGCACCGTGCACCAGTCGGCGGACAAGGACGCATGGGAGCGGTCGGGAGACGACCGCCCCTCACACTCACCCGCAAACACACGTTCGACGGCGGACAGTGCAGCTGGGGGCAACCACCGGGGCGGCGGGGACGGCATGATGCGCGGCAGAGGCGGCATCCAGAGAGGCGGGGGTGTCGACACACAACCACTGGCGGACTGACGTGTAGGTAGCATGGAGAGACGAGTTTGGGTTGGTTGATTGGTGAGAAAGGGGGAGGGGAGGTGCTTGGCTGTCGTGTGCCGTGGTTGAGTGGTGTTATCTGTAAGTGGGTGGATGCTGCCTTTCTGCCTGCCTGTCCGTTGTGCGCGTTGGTGTTTCGGTTGCCTGCCTGCCCTGCCTGCCTGCTTGCCTGGACGGACGGATTCATGACTTGTCTGCATGACCATACACGGCGTGCCGGAATCACGCCACATGAGTGGTGGAACACATGTATCTGTTAGCCCCTGAGGGCCGATTGTCTCAAAAATTGGGAACCATACCTTTTGGCAGGAACCACCGGAACTGGAGTAGTTTTCAACTAGCAATCCGCGCACATCCGCTGAGCGTCATCTGTCGCGCGACCGCCCCAGCGCAGGGACACACCGAGGCGAGCAAGAGAAGGCCTTTCAACACAGATCTGCACTCGGTGATGGCTGACTGCCCCGATTGTCTGTGTCTCTCGTCGATGGCTGCAGATCTCGCCTCTCTGCCGCCACGACAGACACTTTGGGTGCACGGACAGCCAGCCACATGCTCAGATCAGCAAGATCTCTGCCTGAAAAGGCGGCATCAGATAAGGTCGATCTCGCCAGCCATCACCGACTGCAGATCTGTGCGCGCCTCCCCCTCTCCGTCTGCAGAGATTCATCGTGGTGTTCCGCTCATTCGCATCATTCTTTCGCCTTTTACTAAAGAATGCCGTGCGTGGGACACAGTGAACGCGTCTGACGCAATTTTTGCACCCTCCTTTGCCTTCGGGCGTAACAGAACATTGGTACCTTGAGAGGAGGGTGCTGCGTCGCTTCATGTAGTGCATAGATCCAGTCACAGAACCACGCTGAATGGGTTGTGTGGCGAGATCCACACCTCCTGCGCCATCGGGCGTACTTATGAGAAGCACAGCCGTGCACATGCCCTACGGGCAGATCTCGGAACTGAAGCCTTTGTTGTCGGCTGCGCGGACGCCAGCTCCTTCCACCACCGGAACCTCTCGACTGCTTTCGTGAGATCTGTGGCGACAGATGCCGTCCTGTCGGACAGAAAAGCCAGCTCCTCCCACCACCGGAAGCTCTCGCCTGCTTTCGTGAGATCCGTGGCGACAGATGCCGTCCTGTCGGACAGAAACGCCAGCTCCTCCCACCACCGGAACCTCTCGCCTGCTTTCGTGAGATCCGTGGCGACAGATGCCGTCCTGTCGGACAGAAACACCAGCTCCTCCCACCACCGGAACCTCTCGCCTGCTTTCGTGAGATCTGTGGCGACAGATGCCGTCCTGTCGGACAGAAACGCCAGCTCCTCCCACCACCCAAACCTCTCGCCTGCTTTCGTGAGATCCGTGGCGAAAGATGCCGTCCTGTCGGACAGAAACGCACAGCCATGGCATGGATCCCGCATATGCACGCTTCCGATGAAGGGTGACCCTGGCAGGCAGATCAGCATTTGTTGCCGGCTGCGCGAACGCAAGCCAGCTCTGCCAGAAATTCCGCTGTTGGCAGGAGCATAGCCCCCCCATGCCGCTTCACGTACCCCCGAATGCAATGGGAGCTCCACGACAGCACAGGGGCCTTCTTGAGCGCCCCCGAGGCCCAGCCAGGTAAGTTTATTCAAAGTCTGTGAGCACGGGCCCGGCAGCAATAGATCTGCAGTCGGTGATGGCTGGCAGGATCGTCTCAGTTTGTGTCTCATCGATGGCTGCAGATCTCGGCTTCCTGCCGTCACGACAGACACTATGGATGCATGGATGCCCTGCCGTGTGTTCAAGATCAAGCTCGCAATGACAACGGATCTGCTCGCTAAAACAGAGGCTTTGGCATCTTGGTGAGCCTCATTTCATCGCTGCTTGCCGGAGGAGGCGTTGCATGTCCTCAAACTCGTCACCCTTCGCCAGCTGGTGGCAGATCTTTGACCCCTCCATCAGCTCTCTGCCTCCTTGGCCTTCATATCATGCCTTCGAGTCGCGCAGAGGAGCTATCCGCCTTCGAACCGCGGCCAATGTACCGACATCGAAATGGATTCGCCACGGGATGAGCGCGTTCACATGTGTATGAGCGCCGGTATTCCTCCTGTGCACGTGCAGGTCGTTGTATCTTTTGTGTGGCCCTCTGCTTCCCTCCGCGCAGTACGGAACTCTCATCGGCTGACGCGGCGAGAAGCCAGGCGGACAGGCAGAGACACACACACACACACACACACGCGTCACGACACGCGATATCAGTTGTCCATCTGTCTGTCTGTCTGGCCGTCCGTCTGATGTGTCTGGCTGATTCAGGCCGGCCGAGTATGTGATTCAGCCACGGTCTCAGACAGCTGCCTGGCTGTCCGCCGGGGACGCAGCAGCGCTGTAGACTTGTCATAGATGGTCGCTGCACACGACACAGCACAGTTGCATTCATGGACGGCCAGAGAATCGGCGTCATCACTTCGCGTCTTGTGGGCTCTCTCTCTCTCTCTCTGTGTGTGTGTGTGTATGTGTATGTGCGTGTGTCAGCGTGCGTGTGGGCGGTTGGCGGCTCCTCGGCTTCTCACTCACACGTGCGACCAGCCGTGGTGGCCACTCAGCTCGTGCAGGACAATCAGCTGGGGCTGTGCTGTCTGGATGTGGTGGATGGATGGCTGTGGTATATGGATGGGCGGGCAGGCGGGCGAGTGGGAGGGTGCGTTCCTTCCGGGATGCATTGGTACGGACGGACTGTGTCCGTCGTCCTCTCCTGCCTGTGCCTATCTTTGTGGCTGTGCTGTGTGGTACGTGGTGGATGTGTGTCGTGCACGATGAATGAATGAGTGGCGCCTTCGGGCGTAGGAAGGAAGGATGGTTTGATGTGATTGATGCACAGATAGGTGTCTGCTCGTGCAGCTATCTGGCTGGGACACTACATGGCGGGCTTCCTGTGGGCCCGCCTACCAACCTGCCTGCCTGCCTGCCTGCTGTGTGCGCTGTGCGTGTGAAAGCGGCGCCCTCGGGCGAGAGAGTCAATTCACAGATGAGGAGCATTGCACCGCTCCCTGGTGCCTTCATGATCGAATGGATGAATGGTCCATTTCTTCTCTGCCTGCTGACTCATATCTCTCTGCCCGCATGGTTGGTGTGTTGTGTGACTGTGTGTGTGTGTTGTGTGATGTGGTATGACACGTAGGGATGAATGTGAGCTGAGGACTTGGTGTGTTGTCAGCGTGTGTTGCGAGTGCATCAACTGGCTGTGGATGGGAGGAATTTGCTGCCAGCTGCGGTGCATATGACGAGGCAATCATCCTAAACTGACTGCTGGAACGCAAGTCCGCAATACATGGGCATAAGCGCCACACACACATGAAGATTTTCTCACCAGCTGCGCGAACGCAAACCGGCCATCACGTGCAGTCAGAGAGCTACGCAATCAGTCAGATGGGAGTGATGGTTAGGCCCGAAGGCCCAGAAGAGGGTGTGCCACACTCACCGTAGAGTGTAAGGGCGAGGCGACACGTGAGAGGGCGACAGGCAAGCCTGAGCAACCGCTCTCCCCGGAGAAAGAATTCTTGTGACAATTCATGGTTCAATGAACCAATATCAGCTGTCACACTGATAAGAACAGTTACTACACTTGATCTTAGCCAAAAGGCCGAGAAGGTATGCTGATCTGGAGAAGTGGCAGGGAGTGGCCGACACAGATCTGCAGTCGGTGATGGCTGGCAGGATTGTCTCAGTTTCTGTCTCGTCGATGGCTGCAGATCTCGGCTTCCTGCCGTCACGACAGACACTTTGGGTGCATGGACGCACTGCCGTGTGGTCAGATCAGCCAGATCTCCGCGAGAAAAGAGGCGAGAGCAAGACCGAGCTCGCAGCCGAGCTTGCAAGAAAAACGTGTGGCGCTTTGGAGCGTGATACCCTAGCTTAATTGGTCGGGACTTTTCGACAACTTTCGGCTCGTGTTTCCTCCCTCTGACCATCGGCCACAGACACAAACAGCCGCCAGGAAGGATGGAAGGCACGACGATAGAGGGTTTCTACTTTGGTATTCCGTTCCTCTCCCGCGTGCTGACGACCGTCTTCTTCTGCCTGACGCTTGTGACCCAGCTGAAGCTGTTCAATCCCTCAGTGCTGCTGCTCAACTGGCCGCTCGTCGTCAGCCGTCTGCACATCTGGCGGCCCATCACCAACTACCTCTATATCGGCCAATTCGGCTTTCCTTTCGTCTTCAACCTCTACTTCTTCATCACCTTCTCGGGCCGCCTGGAGAGGAACGAGTGCTTCACCAGCCAGGGCACCCCCGGCAGCTACCTCTTCTTCCTCCTCATCAACATGCTCACCATCGACGGGCTCAGCTGCGCCCTCGCGTGGCCCAACGGGCTGCCGATGAACTTCTCCTCGCTCCTCATGGCCATCATCTACTACTGGAGCCGGCGGGAGGCCTGGGCGCAGCTCACCTACTGGGGCTTCTCCATCCAGGGCTACCAGCTCCCCTGGGCCCTTATGTTCTTCAACATGCTCCTGGGTGGCTCGCCGTGGGGCGACCTTCTGGGCGTGGCCGCCGGACACACCTACTATTTCCTCAAGGAGGTCCTGCCGGCTGAAAACGGCATGACCCTCCTCAAGACGCCCGGCTTCATCGACCAGTTCATGATCGCAGTGCAGGAGGGCGGCCGACCAGCGGCGGCCGGCGGGCAGGCCGGCAGGGCCGCTCCACCACCACCACCCAGACAGTTCGGAGGCCGTGGGTACAGACTGGGCGGCGACTGAAGAGAAATCACACGAGGGAGGGAGGGAGGGAGGGTACCTAGCGAAGCGCGCATACTGATAGGTGCGGGGGGGGCGTTAATTAAGGAGGGCATGCAACGATTGTAGGAGGCGCGAGAGAAGTGGGTTAGAGAGAGGCAGGCAGGCAGGCAGACATCTGCTCCGCTTTTTGCTCTGCTCCCGCGTGGTCTGCCTAGTCATGACAGGTGGCGCCTGTCCTGTTGCCTTGTTTGTTTGTCTTTGTGTTTGTGTACATATCCATCACATCACGGCGGACAGACACGACTTTTTGTGTGCGCTGCGCAATGGGGTAGTCGACTCGATGGATGCGTAGATGCTGACTGACTGACGGGCGCATCGTATCGCGCCCGCCCTGCCAGGAGGCTATTGAATGCATGTGCTTCATGTACCGTACCCACGCTTAGGCGGACGAATTGGCACTCGTTAACTTAACATACACACAACACCGCACAGGTCGCGTCTTTCCACCGTCCATCACCACACACACGCAGCTGACAAGAGAACCAACACAGACAACAAACAGACACATCCCCTCCCCGTCAGCCACATCCGTCCATCCACCGTATTCACATAGATCCACCTGCACCACCACCCCTTTGCCGTGCCAACCAATCGACCGTTCCCACTTCAGCTATCTACACACACGAAACTCACTCCGTCACTTACTTAAACACCGGTGCGTGCCACCACCCACCCCACAAAAAGCCGCCACGACGGACGGACGGACGGACATACTCGTTTCCGCACGCATCAATCGCTTACTTGAAAAACCACCGCACCAACGAACGAAGGAATGCATTGATGTGAGGTGTCCACTGGCCAATGCAGCCAGTCTGTCTCTCCCTGACTATATAGCTCTCGTTCTCACTGTGTGTATGGTATGTGACAGAGAAAAAGCCGTCACCGTCACAGTCGCTCCTCTCCTCTCCACTCGCCATCCATGTCAATTGATTGTCTGTCATCCTCCCCTGCCCATACCCTCATCCCCCCCGGCAATCATCTCGGCCTGCGGCAGAGGGGAAAATGCCGGCGACGTGCCCGGATTGGGCGTGGTCGAGTGACAAGAAGGCGAGGCCGTTGTGTCAGATCCCAAAAAGTCGGGCGAGGTTGGCCGCTCAGGGGAGGGCAGCACAGAGTGCCCGTGGTTGTCGTGGGCAGGCTGCTTCTGCGTCCCACGGACGGTGTAGCTCATTCTGCGGCCGAGAGACGCCAGGCGGGAGGGAAGCGGCACGAAGTGAACCCCTGCACCGGGCGGAAACCGACCTGACAAGCAACCAGGCACACAGATCGAGAGTGGCGATATATGCACACAACACATGCACACTTGTGTTGCATGTATACAGTTTTGCAGCTGCTGTGCAGACACACCAGAAATGGGGAGTAGGAGACGCATGACGGGAAGATCCCCGAGTATGCTCCTGATGTTTTCTGCCGGCCCCCGGTCGTAGAAACGGTGGGGCAGGGGGCTCCACACGTTGGGCTTGACCTCCACAAACTCAGGAGAGCCGAACCCAGTGGCCTCGATGACTGTCTGCCCCGTCCACACGTGATACAGCTGCTGTCCGCCGACGGCAGAAATGACAAGCAGCGCGAGAAAGGCCCCAGCCAGCAGCAGTGCGCTCTCCCACCCGAGCCAAGCCAGGACGTGAAGGTGCAGCGCCATCATGGTGCTGGTGATGCCGCCACCGGTGTAGCGCAACGCCCACCTGCAAGACAGACACGCAAGGCCGAACGATGGGGACCAATACGCACTCACGGGTGTGCGGTTGTCAGCCCACCTGGCTATTGATGAGTGTGCAGCCGCTTCGATGTCGTGAGCGGCGAATGCAGTGTGCAGAGCCACCTGAGCAGGCAGGCAGGTCGGTTTGATGGCATCCATTATCAATCCAGCCATTAGGGTAGGTTACCCACCCACCCCCACCCACCAGCAGAATGACGTGCAGGCAGCCCAACAGCCCAAAGACAAAGATCAGCACAAAGTGCCCGTGATTGCATAGCCCAACCGCGTTGCCTCTGACACACGCATGACATGACAATCCCACAGACACATTCTGCCCTCGGCAGGGTCACTTACATCCATGGGCACCAGTGGTCCATCCGCAGCACACACCGGCCCAGCGCACTGCAGTGCCGAGCGCGCGGCGGCTTCAACAGACCACACACGTCACATTGACGAGGGGCGTAACGATAAGGACCTGCACAACACAACACACACAACACGCAGCGTGCGCTGCTCCCTCCTCTCCTTCCTGACTTGACTTGACTCGCTGACTGACCTATCACGAAGGTCTGGTCTGCGCTCGGCTGGTGCCTCTGCGTCACCCACCCCGGCTGGTGGAAGGCAGCCATGCAGAAGTTGTAGACGAACTGCACTGTTGTCCACACCGCCATCACCCAGTGGACCACACCGACGGCCGACGACAGGGGAGCCTGCACCACCGCACACACGGGCGCGGCGCACATACCAATACAAAAACGTTTGTCGTCCTTGGCTCTCCTTCTTCGCGTGGAGTGCGTGGTTACCGACCACCGATGGCAGAAGAAAAAGAAGGCCGAGCAGCGGGATGGCAGAAGAAGCGGCCAGCACGCAGTGTGGAAGGATACGTACATGGAAGGGAAGCACCTTTGTTGTTGTGCCGGTGTCCTCCTCGTGTGTCCAGAGGCCGAAAGAAAGGGATGCTGGCTTGGCTATGCGGTGCCGGATGGCGCCAAGAGGCGACTCGGATGTCCTCAGCTCCATCACAGCAGCCGTCCTCAAGACCGCACCATCCCTTTTCCCGTCTTCGAGCTCGCAGCCCCCAAGTAGCCCCCCGTCTCCTTTCATCCTCGTGCATCAATCCGTCCGGCACCATCGATGTTTGCGCAAGCCGCTCTCGGCAGCTTCCGGGGGGGTTCATCGCCATCCAGTTCCCCTCATTCGGATGGCAGGCGGGGCCCCGCCAGACTTCAAGCAGGCGGCAAGCTGAACATGGCGCCCAGACCAGCGGCTGGCGACGAAGGCCACGCCACGCAGTCGTCTGTCCGGTCCCACTTCTCGGAGCACAGCAGCACTCGGACAATTCCTCATCACTCGCTCACGCCGATTATCCTCAGCAGCTCGTCACCACGGCAGTCTTGTGAGCATGCGCTCGAGAGGGAGGCAGACAAGGTCCGCCTGGAGACGGTCGCAGAACATGGTGAACCGCGGGGGTCCAAGTCTGCCCCGACCCCTACAGCCGCGGGACGCGCAAGACCGACGGGTCTACAGAGGCTTCGCAAGGCTCTGAGTGACGGCTGGAGCAGCGCATGGCCCCAGTCATGGCTGCCGAACTTCTCCCGAGGCCTGTCGGTGCTCGCGCTGTCTCCCAGGAGCAAGAAGTACTCACAGCACGACGACAAGAGACGCCACTCGGATCCGTCGCCTATGGAAAAACATGACAAGAAGTTCCGGCTGGGTGAGCCGATTCTGTTGGCTCCGGCCCGTGGGTCGACTCAGAGCTTGCCCCAGAAGCTGGCCTTTCGTGATCAACTGGCTGTGCTGCGTCAGCGGGTGAGGCAGGGGCGGGTGCTGGACCCCAACTCGAGCTTTATGCGCTTTTGGGATCAGCTGATGATCGTCCTGCTGCTGTTCACGGGCACATGGACCCCCTATGAAGTGGGATTGCTGCCGACAAAACTGGACGTCTACTTCGGCATTAACCGTTTTGTCGACGTGGCGTTCTGGGCGCACATCGCCATCAACTTCAATCTCATGTACAAATCCCCTCACGGATGGGTGTACGACCGCAAGAAGATCGCACATCGGTACCTCTCCTCGTGGTTCACCATCGACCTCCTCTCGGTGATCCCCTTCGACATCGCCCTCCTGGTGCTCGACCTGAGAGACGAGGTCAAGGTGCTGCGGCTGTTCAAGCTGCTTCGATTGCTCAAGCTGGCGAGACTCCTGCGGGCGCAGCGGCTGCTGCAGAGGTAGGTGCAATGTGACCAAAAGGATTCGCGGTGGATGGATGGATGGATGGCGTGGTGTTGTGGGCATGCAGGTGGGAGGCGAAGAGCGGTCTGAGCTATCAGAGCATTGCCTTGTGGAAGTTTGTGCTGCTGACCGTCTTCAGCGGCCACTGGATGGCATGCACCTGGGCATTCCTCGCAAGTGAGTCAGTCAGTGGTATGCGTTTCCTTGCTTGACTGATTGACTGATTGCCCACTCTCTGTCTCTTCTGTCTGTCTGTCTGTCTGTCTGTCTGTCTGTCTGCATCCACACACACACAGGGTATGACAAGGGTGAGGAGGATGATGTCACTTGGCTTGTGGCCCTGCTCGAGGACAAACCCGAACCGCACATCGCGGCGGCCTGGCAAATCTACCTCGTCTCACTCTATTGGTCCTTCATGACGCTCACATCCATTGGCTACGGTACGCGCATTCAGACGGACGGACCGACGGAGAGGCATATCCAGCTGAGCGTAGTTGCTTCCCTGTTTGTTTGGTGCACTGCATTCAGGTGACATTGTGCCATTCACGTACATCGAGTACGGCGTGTGTGTGGTGTGTATGCTCATTGGAGGGATGATATGGTGGGGACGAACGACACACACGACACGCTTGATTTGAGAGCCAGCCCAGCCTATGTGATGTGACGTGATGTGATGTGATGTGCGTGTCGATTGATTGTTCAGGGCGTACATCATCGGTAACGCAGTCAATATCATTACCAACATCGACATCCACACGCACGAGTATCAGCGCACTATGGATGATCTCAATGACATGATGCGAGACAGAAGGCTCGAGCCTAATCTGCAGGTGCGGCTTCGGACGTACTTTCAGAACGCCCATCACCTGCAGCGGCTCATCTCTCATCGCACACTCATCGACAAGGTAGAAACAAAGGTCACACATACAAACAGACGCATAGACACAGACAGGCCCAGAGAGACAGTCTGTGTCTCCTGCCTGCTCAGATGTCTCCCCAGCTGCAGGGAGAAGTGGCCCTGGCGGCGAACAAACCGTGGCTGCAGAAGGTCATTGATCAGCCATCGATCATCAAGCACCAATTTCGATGCACACATCGGTTTGATGTGTGCAGGTATCGTGGTTGCGCGACTGCACGAACAATCAGTTTGTGGTGGAGATCGCCAAGAGTTTGCAGCCGCTCGCCTATGGACCGGAGGAAGTCCTCGACATGGCGGCCACGCTGTACATCGTACAGAGAGGTAACCGTCTCGCTTCATCGATGACTTTTGCAAACACATACTTTGGATTGCAGGTTTGGCCGCTCGTCGCGGCAAAATTATGTCCGTTGGATCCGTCTGGGGCGAGGTATGCAAACACACTCACGCGCAGGGCCGGCACATTTGGCTATGGTCGCTCTTGTGTGTGTGTGTGTGAAAGGATCTCATTCTGTCGGAGTGGGAGCTCATGGATCGGCACGCTGCCATCGCACTCACATATGTCGAAGTGTTGTTTTTGCCACGTGACGAGCTCGGTAACATCCTCCTCGACTTCCCCGAAGAAGCTGCCCGCATCCGCAAGTTTCAAATCCGGCTCGCACTTCGTCGCACCTTCATCGCAATCGCAAACGACGAGCCGTACGGCACACGGTTCCTACTCAACGCCGGCCTGCCGCCCATGCAGCCCCGCAAACCAGCAGACAGGCAGACGGCAAAAAAGGAGGATGTATCTGACGAGGGGGGGAAAGAGGGCATGGACCACGTGGTGGGAAATGCAGTGACCTCGAGCGCGGCAGCGATCGCCAACAGCACATCAGAGGCGGAGGTGGTGTCTGCCACGTCAGCCGAGGACAAGAGGCAGCCGGCGCCGTCGTCACCGAAGGGCAGCCGCAGACTGACGGTGGTAGTGCCCGAGAAACCTCCGGAGGCAAAGGGCGGCAGCCCGCCAGGCAGCCCGCAGTCCGTCAAGTCTTGGGGCGGCGACGACAAGTCACCGCGCCACTCGCTGACATCGCCACCTGGCGAGAAAGCCGGCGTCTTCGTCAGGTGAGGTCTTCCTTAAGTATATCCGCGTTTTCATGCCTCGCCGTCACATGAATGTGTGTGTGCAGGCACCGGCATCGCCCGCCCATGAGTGCGGGCACACAAGACCTGGCGGCCATCCTGAGTCAGGCACGGGGGTCGCCACCCCCCCCTCAGTCAGGCCCGCTGTCCAAACCGGCCTCGATGAGGAGGGGCAGCACCTTCGTCGACCGCTCACCCAGACGGCAGAGTGGATCACACTCGTACGTCGCCCTCGAGAGCATCGTCTCACCCCGCTATCAGCCGCAGCCCGTCGCGCCCACGCCTCCACTGGATGCCAGTGGGGGTGATGCCCCCCATGGCGAAGAGACGCTGAAGAGAGAGATCGTTGACACGATAGATGAGCTTATCGCAAGCCGCCTGACGGCCCTCATCAAGAGCATGGAGGCTGTCAAGCATCTGAGAGAGATGCGGGAACAGCATGGGGACACGGCTCAGGCGTCGTCCCTGCCAACTCTCCCCCTCACGCCACACCAAAGGGCGCGGGCAGCGGGAGAGGAGGGGGCTCCGACGGGAAGGACGGAGAGAAGAAGGCGGTCATCAATGTTTTCAACTCTATCGGGTATGCACAAACAATGTGACGAATGCATGCATGTGCCTCTCTCTGACCTTCTATCGGGCGGACACATGGATGGTCTCAGGCCCGCTTGTGCAGCTGCACCCTCTAGAGGCGCTCCACACCGCCAACGTCCCCTCCACCGGACAGCAGCAGCAGAGCGAGGCTGAGAGGCACGCGGCGCTCCTGGACGAGTTGCAGAGACAGCAAGCTCTGAGTGAGTGAGTGAGTGAGTGAGTGAGCAAGCACACACAAGAACACATACGAACACAACGCGCATTGGGTGTGCGTATGTGTGTGTGTTAATTGTGTCAGTCAACCAGTGGCAGGGGGTGAACGCGAATGCTACGGACAGGCTACACTGTGTTCTTGCGTGTGGTGAAAACAGACACACGATTGTCTGATGATGCGATTAGAGGTGAGTGTCCCTATGCACATCCGGTCCATCCATTGAATCGAATTCAACGAGCCTCAACACACTCATCGATTTTGCCATTTCTCGTTTTCTGTCTCTGTCACATGTCACGCCATGACATGTGGGGCTCACGTGTGTCCCTTTAAGCGACAGTCAGCACCATTCGATCGAGCGGGCGATCGAGCCAGGCACCTCTGCTAGCGGGGAGATTGCATGACATCGGCGAGGGTGCATGCTGGTAGAGGTGGAGGGGAATGGAGCTTTGCTCGGGGAATCGGTTGAATCGATGTATCTTTGCTTTTTTGCTATGCCTCATTTTCATGGGGTTACGGAATCATTGGTCCGACTCATTTGCTGCTGCTGCTGCCTGTCTCTTGACGAACCTACCCTAAACTTGTACATGTGTGTGGAGATCATGATGTGCGTGTGTGTCATTCATTCGCTCAATGAGCCATGATCGATCCAAGCTAAGCTTTCACGTGAAGGCACTTTCTTTCGAGCTGGTCCATTCCATTCCATTCCACTATGTATATATGTGCAGCACAGACAAATACTCACAAGTAGCGACCGCCACACAGCTCATCTATCCTCCCCCAACCGGCCAAAGCTAGGTGTGCCCATCCATCGCTTGCCCACACCCTCCCCCCCTATGCCCATCTCAGCCAGTGCCGCATCCGCCTTGCTCCCCACGGCAATGGCACGCCCCCTCGACAGTGCCACATCGTCCAATGCGTCTCGGATCAGGGCGGCATCCTTCGAACGCAGAGACGATGATGGTCTGATCTTGGTGCCGCTGGGAGGTGCTGATGTGTCGAGGCCATCGAGAAGGGAGTCAAGCCACAGGGAGGGAGAGTCCTCCCACGCCGCTGCTGGTGCTGCCGGAGGGTGGCCAGGGTCAGCTTGGGAAGGGCCATGATCATGATCCACATCTCGTGGCTCATCTGCCCTCATCGACGCGGCCTTGCCTCTCAGGCCGTCCAGGAAGGAGAAGACAGGGTCGGTGCTGCTAATTGGCACTGCCGAAGCACTGGAAGTGGATAATGTGGCCCGGTCTCCGCCGACCAGCCGCGCAGATGACGTCTGCTGGTTGTCTATCCTCCTTCTGGCGGACTGATGAGAGAAGGGCGACGGCACTCCCTCGACGATAGGGACGGAGGGGAGGTCCCGCCCACGGGCAGCGAATGGCGACTGCCGTCTTGGTTGCCCGCCAGTGCCCCCAACTGGCCGCAGGGGTGAGCTGCAGGCTGAGCGAGCGGCGCGTGCACGAGGAGGGGAGGGGTCGCCGAGACGAAGCCGAGTCGTCTGGCTGATGGCCATGCTCCCCTGTGCAGAGGGCACATAGTGAGGGGAGTGGTCGACGGGGAAGGGCTCGACCTGCCGGCCACTTCTGACGCCGATTGAGGGCGGTGGGCAGCTGTCGTCGATGTCGATATCGATGTCAGATGGCTCTTGCCTTGTGGCGCCGGGAAAGTAGAGAGGTGTGGATGAGGGAGTGTGGGGCACTGTCTGCACGGAGCGAGATGGGGCGAGGGGGGCCGGCTGCAGCTGGGAGATGAGCGACAGGTGCTCCCTGACACACACATCCATCCATCCATCCATACCATCCACGCCTCCCATGTGGATGTGGTAAGGGTGCTGTCCCTACTGCTGCAGCGAGTCGTATTGGTGTTGCAGGCTCCTAAGCTTCTCGTCACGATGCGCAAGACTCGACGCCAACTCTGCATACCGCCCATCCATCCATCTATCCATTCATGCATACAAAGATAGCCATAGCAATTCCTACCAGCCATGGTCTCCCTCTGCCGCATCAACAACTGACGATACCGATTGACCTGGCCCGTCTCGCCCTCACGCTCACGCCGACGCGACGGGCACCGCGACCTGCTGCCGTCGGTCGCCATGCCGAGAAGGCTCGTGGCATCACGGCCCTCGTGAGGCGTCCTGGGGCGGCTGCCGGCGCGGGAGAAGGGGCCTGAGGGGATGGATGCAGCCTGCAGCACATGGATTGGATGGCGACCAATTGACAACTCTTCTGCTGTCGTGTGCTATGCTTACGTCGTTTGTTGAGGTGAGGTCTTGCCGAAGTCCGGCAGCAACGTGGCGCATGTTTGCGGAGGCCATTGAGGCTGTCCAGGGCAGCTCCTCTATCTGTGTGTAGTGGATATGAGTGCATATATGTGATTTCTGTCTGTGTGTGTGTACGAGCTACCTACCTGTATCTGCGGCTCATTGTGCACTCTGTTGGACCTCAGCGCAAACTTGAGGGTGGACAGGCTCTCACCGAACGACTGAAGAGAGAACACAACACACACGGGAAAGAAAGACAAAGGGGTGCTGTGCTGTGCCATGCTCGGAATGTCTAGACGCCTGAGTACTGTACCTCGGGAGTGGGTGCGATGCATGCGATGAGAGTGGTGATGCACCAACCGCCGAGAGAGTCCTGCAGCAGCCTGGTCAGCTTGCTGTCACGATACGGCACATGCTGACGCACACACACACACACATACACACATACACACATCCGCACATCGGAAGGAAGGAACCGTTCACCCCTCCCTCCCTCCCTCCCTCCCTGTTTCGCTCGTACCTTCCTCCCGTGTGTGAGAGCCATGACAACATTCCCCAGTGCGGCCAGCGACTGATTGATGCGCTTGCTCTCCTCCAGACGCACACCAGTGGCCCCAGTCAGCCGCACACGTTCGCTTCCAGCCAGGTCCACCAGATGCAGCCGCCCCCCACGACGACCAGGCGCACACAGAGCGGGCTGGGGCTCGTGTGCGTGTGGTTGTGGGTGTGGGTGGGGGCTGTTGTTGTCTATCTGCAGGGTGAGCATGGTATGGCTGCGGGAGGACCTGTCGTTGACCGTTGTTGGCGCGATCGGCCGCACGTCGTCGACCTGGGACAGTATGCTGATTGACGGACGGACGGACAGACGGACGGACAGACAAACAGACAGACAGGGGATGCGCAACAGTGCTCTCTCTTTCTTTCTGGTTGAGTTGAGCGACCGATAGATGTCTTGAGGGTGAGTGAGAGGCCACTCCGATAAGCCGTCCACAAAGACGCCGCGGCGCTTGTCCTCACTGACAGATGAACGGACATGACACCCACACACGGCAGGCAGGCAGGCAGGCAGGCATGTGTTTCCATGCCATCCGCCTTGTGTGCGGGCTGAGGCGCGCATAGCATACCGCATTGGCAGATTCGTGTTGGAAGGCTGCAGCAGGTCCGTCACTACCTGCGAAAGAATTTTAACAATTTTTGCGTGCGTCACACAAACACATGATGTCGAGAATTCTTGATCCCTCCTTCTTGCCTCGTTGTATATCTGCACGAACGACACTCTCATGCGAAACGGCCCCAAACCACTGCCCTGCTGCCGCCCCAGGGCAAACAGGTCCGCCACAGCACGAGGGCAAATGCCTGAATAGGTGCCAACGTTGGTGTGTGTGTGTGTGTGTGTGTCGGTGCCTGCCCACCTTCCGACCTGCCTACCTCTCTGTGGGTGGTTTGGCCGGTCCAAGATGCCCTCCATCGTATACGTCTTGCCGGCCCCTGTAAGTACGTCACGCGTGCAGACGAAAGAATGCGGGCGTCAGTCGTGTAAGCCCACCTGTTTGTCCATATGCGAAAATGGTGGATGAGAAGCCCTCTTTCGCCTGCCGCACAGCCGGCCGCACCATGCTCTCGTACACGGCCTCCTGGGTAGCACCCACACCAAACACTGAACACACACACACACACGCGCATCCATCCATATCCCCTCCTCTCGTCCCATCCCATCTGATCACTGACTGCCCCACGCCATGCCACCTCACCTCACCTCTGTCAAAGGTGAAGATATACTGTGCAGCACACCGGCGGCGAGCGGCCCACTGCTCGGCATCGCCGTCCCGCCACAGCGCATTGCCGTCCCTCACTCGCAGATCCGACAGAGAGGCATTGCGCGAGAGGCCCTGGGGTCGACATGGCGGCACTGAGTAAGACAGGATCTCACGCAGAATCAGCGTACGGCCATCAGACAAACACTCCGCCTGACAGGTGAAAGAAAAGACCACAGACCAATTGATGAGTGATACAACAACAGCATGTTGGTGTGATCACCACTTGGTCCGGGCGCAAAAGCAGGCAGCCTCCCAGCTCCCTTTCCAGAGGCGGCCTCACGCGGACACACACCCTCAGTGCACGGCGCACCCTGGCAGTGCACGTGGACGCCGACTGACTCAACGGAGGGCTAAGAAAGAAGAACACACAGCACCACAGCACAGCACACGGGCGCATTCATCCGTCGCGCATGGATGGGTGGATGGGTCGAATCGGATGAGTGTTTGTCAGCGCATCTCTGTACCTGTTTGATGAGGGCTCTCCTGTAGGCATAGAAGCTGCTGCGGCTTTTGTTTCCGAAAGTTACAGCGGAGTTACACGGGCGAGATCTACGAGACATGAGTTGCGACGGGCGTGGACCCGCTTGCGTGTCCATGAGACCTCCGTCGTCACTGAATGCTTCGTCCGGCTTCGTCACATTCCTCGCCAGGGCGGCAGCAGAGACAACGGTGCCCCGTCCGTGGGCTTCCCGAGGAGACTGGGGGCCTCAAACCCAAACCCTGCACTTGAGATTCTTATTTGGTGTGGTGGCGAAGTTGAGTTGCCGATCAGTGTTTAACTTGTTAGTCAGTCTCCCTACCTACCACTACCATGAACGCTGATCGTCACGTGCGGGGCTACTGGGATAAGCTGGAATGCACGGGGGAGCTGCCGGCCAACCGGAGTGGCCACACCTGCGTCCTCTACAAAGAGAGGTACCTGTACGTCTTCGGAGGCTTCGACGGAGCCAACTGCTTCGATGATGTATACGGTACGCACCGCGCCGCACCCACACACCAGCACCAACACACAGACACATGCATGGCATGTCTTCCTTCCTCCCCTCCCTCCATTTAGAGTTGGACATCGACACGCGCGTGTGGCGGTGCGTCAACGCTCGCGGCGAGCGGCCGTCGGGTCGCGCGTCGCACTCAGCGGTGGCTGACGACATAGGTGGTGTGATGTACGTGTTCGGCGGGTCTGGTTCGCACTTCGGGTACACCAACAAGCGAGACCTGCACATGTACAACTTCGCCACCGAGACGTGGGTGCTGCTGGCCAACCCCACCGAGGACCGCCCGTCGGCTCGCTACGGCCAGTCCATGGTCCTCTACAAGGAGGGCCTCTACGTCTGGGGCGGCACTCACGGGGTCAGTCAGGGAGTGAGCAGCAGACCACAAGACACGCACACATTCTGTCTGTCTGTGTGTGGTTCTGTGTGTCGTTCTGTGTGTGTGTGTGTGTCAGACCAACTACCCGACAGAGATGTATCGGTTTGACATCTGCACCAAGACGTGGGACCTGGTCGTGACCAGCGGAGACGCACCTGTCGGCAGATACCGGTCGGCCAGCAAGCAAACCACAGACAGACAGACACACATGACACACACCAACACACCCACCCAGCCAAGGGTGGTGCCTTTGATCGACGTGTGTGTGTGTGTGTGTCTTACTTCCAGCCATCAGTGCATGGTGAAGGACGACGTCATGTACATCGTGGGCGGCAGCGGCCACCAGCGATATGGGGACGTCTTCACCTTCAGATTCACCACCAACATGTGGCGCAGGTTCCCCTGCACCGGCACCGACCTCTCCGACGGAAGATACGCACACAGCGCCGTACTCAGAGGTACACGACATGCACAATCATTATATATGCATTGCTGTGGCGGTGGCTTTTTCCCTCCCTCCCTCCCTCCCTCCCTCCCTCCGTCCCTGCCTGTGTGTCGTTCTTTAACAGGCAAGTACATCTACTTGTATGGCGGCAATGACGGGGTGCGTCACGACGACCTGCTGCAGCTGGACCTGGAGAGACGGGTAGGTCAGGGAGGGAGGGAGGGAGGGAGGGAGGGAGCTGCAGATGAGATGAGATGAGAGACAAGGGGAATGCAATGCATTCAGGGCTGCCCATGATAAGCTATGTGTGTGATGTATGGCTGTCCTCAGATATGGTCCCGCGTGTCTGTGATGGGGTCCCCTCCCCATGGCCGTGACTTCCACGCTGCCGTCCTCCGCAGAGTAGGAAATCACCGACCAATGAATGCATTGCAATGCACACGCCACGCCCACTTGACGACTGACTTGTACATCCATACGGACGGACGGATGGACGAACGGATGCCCTCTCTCTGCCTGTGTGTGGTGTGGTGTGGTGTGGTGTGGTGTGTGTTGGGTTTGCTCAGGGTTCTTTGCAGGAGTGCATGATAGTGTTTGGCGGGTCGAGCGGCATGCGACGGCACAACGACTGCTACGAGTTCAGATTCGGGCCCATCACGCCACCCATCCCGCCATGCACACTCGCACAGGTACGTCAGTCACGTCACAAACAACACAACCACACACAACCAGGGCCAGGCCACCCACACCCACACCGACATCCATCCATCCATCCGTCTGTCTGTCTGTCTGTTGTCATGTCAGGATCTGCTGAACCTACTGGAGAAGTGCCAAGTAGAGAGCACCTGGCAGGGCACATGCGACGTCATCCTGGTGGCGGCACCGTCAGATGAAGACCCAGACTCCTCGCCGCGGTCCGACCGCCCGCCCGCGTCGTCACCCACACAGGGAGGCCACGACGGCGGCCTCACCAACGGCTCGTCACGGTCCGCAGGTCGGTTTGGCAAGGACGGCTCGGCCGCATCGTCAGCCGGGTCGGCTTCGTCCTATGGCGCCAACCTCGGAATGGTCCTGCCGTCAAAACCACCGGTGAGAATGGAGCCTGGCCTGCAAGGCGAGCAAAGAGGATTGCAGACACAAAACAGATTAGATTGCCGCGTGTTTGTTTGGTTCGTGTCCTTCCTCGTCACGTACGTCAACAGGGTGCCGTGTCGGTGCATTGCCACTCCCACCTGCTGCTGGTTCGGTGCCCCTCCATCTGGCGCATCATCGCCGAGCACCAAGGCATGGACCCCCGCACCATCCAGCGGCTCACCCGCCCCCCGCCACCCACTGACGAAGACGACCTATTCGCCGACGAATCACCATTCCGCATTCGCTCGCCACGCAGAGGGCACCTGCACGGCAAAGCCGGCGCCAAGGGCCACTCGCGAGCACACCAGCCCTTCTCTGACCTCCGCCGGCTGCCCACCGGCACCTCAGAGGAGTCCTCGCCGTCTCATTTCCCTGCCTACCCGGCACTGGGTGGCGATCAGGATGACCTGATGGAGGCCGTAGTGTCTCTGGGCGGCCTGGGTGGGTCGTCGACATCGCCCAGCGGGGCAGCTGGGCCGGCGGACGGAGGCAGGGGACGCCCGCAAGGGCTGCATCAGACTCAGCCGGGGGACGGCGATTCGTCCTCTTCATCTGCTGCTGCTGCCGCTGCTGCCGGCCGCCAGAGCGCAGCACGCCGGCAGTACTTCACGCCCCGCAACTTGTTCGGCCGCCCCCCGATGGGCCCCTCACCCAACCGCTTCAACCCCCCGCAGCCACAGCCACAGCCACAGGGGCCGGGCGGACAGACGCCGCCCATCGCACCCCTCGCCAGCGGAAGCGCCACGCCATCCGTGTCGGTGTTGCCCTTCCGGGGCTGCCCCACGAGCTGGGCCACGGGCTACCCGAGCCTCGCCGGTCTGAATGACCCTCTGGAGCTCTCACGGCAGCGCAGCAGCCCCCCAGCTCCCTCTGGGTTCGCAGGGGCGGGTGGCAGCCGCCCACCGCCCGCAGTGAGCGCCTATGCCCACATCCCGCCGCAGGACCTGGCGCTGATCAATTTGAGCTTGACGCGCTCGGTGAGTGGTGGTGGCCCTGGAGTGCGGAGCGGCCCGCCCAGTCCCGGGCTGGTGGGGACCATTCCCGAGGTGGATGTGGACGTCTACAGCGACGAGGAGGCCCGCCGGTCGCGGTCGTCCCGGCGGTGGTCGCGGGGGAGCGGGTCGGACATGCGGCCGCGCATTGTGTCTGCGGCTGGGGCTGATGAGGTTTGGGTCAAGAGTTTGGACCAGCAGCAGCAGCAGGAGGGGCATGGTTCCAACGGGAGCAGCGAGAGCACGCAGACCACCGTCAGGCTGGCGGAGGAGTGCATCAGCTCCCCTGAGGTCAAGGTGCACATGCCGGCCGCCACGCCCCCACCCGTCCCTGTCTCCGTGTCGGATGCTGCTGCTGCTGCTGCCGGGCCGGCTTCGGCAGCTTCGGCCGCGACCATCGAGAGCCCCCCTTCATCCATCGCCTCCCCCGCAAAGCGATCCAGCTTCGGCCGCGACAGCGAGAAACCACCCGCACCCGCAGACGCACTCGAGCCATCCCGGGCCGCCTCTGCCGCTGCTGCGCTGGCCCCCGCCTCAGTGGGGTCGTTCTCGGCTGGGGAATCGCCGGATGACGACCGACACGCGACGCTGAGCCAGTCGGCGGATGACGGGGAGGAGACGGCCGACACCAATGAGACAGCGGCGTCTGCAGGCGAGGGCGGCGCGCAGGAGTGGCCTGAGATGGGGAGCGAGGCTGAGTTGGGTGGAGAGGGGCTGGATGGGCGGGAGGGGGAGGGGGCGGCGAATGAGGCGGCGAGCGGGCCGGACATTAGCGCTTTGAATCTGAGCCCGATGGAGCCGATTGTGGTGGGGGTCAACGTGCTGCCGAGCATTTTGATGGACTTCGTTAGCTTCCTCTACAGCGACCAGCCGGCCTTTAGCACGCTGCCGTAAGTCACATTACATCCACACACAAGCGGGGAGCGTGCTCCGGAAATCTGATGGATGGATGTGCGTCTGTGTGTGTGTCGTTGGTGTGCAGGGTGAATGATTTGTATGACCTGTACGTTGCGGGTCGCCGCTTCAACATCCCCCGTCTCGCCGCCATGATCGAACGACACATCAAAAGTCCACACACACACCCACACACACACACCCCTCTAGACCTACACCTACATCAACACACACAGACAGCCACACAACAAGCCCTGCTTCTGTCTGTCTGCTGTGTGCCTTCCCTGCAGTTCGTCTGTCGGTGTCTAACGTGGTCCCGCTGCTCAGTCGTGCCGTCAAGGACTCCCCCGACACGGCGCCCATTGAGGCGGCCTGCAAGAAGTTCTTCCTTCACAACTACGCTGCCTGCGCCGAGCGAGAGGAGTGCGAACAGCTGGGGGCCAAGTAAGACAGACATACCGACAGCCAGCCAGCCAGCCAGCCCAGTCTGCCTTGGCAGACTGGCGGAAAGAGACAGCATCGGAACGTTCGAACTATACCGAGAAGCGTCTAGTCACCCTCCCCTCTCCTCTCTCTCTGTGTGTGCAGGTTGCTATGCGAGCTGATGAGGCTCGGCAACCAAAGGGCGGCCGCACAAGCAGGTAGGTTAGGTACCCAACCCCCACCCACCCACACACACGCCCGCACACGCGCACAAGCGAACAAACACCACCCCCTCGCTTCTCGATCCATCCGTTGGGTCTGTGTGGTCTGTGCAGAGAGTGCCAGTGGTGCGGGATCGTCCAGTGCCGCCCCCCCGCCAGGTGGCTGGTCGTCCACCACGGCCTCGCTGCCTCTGAGCAGCGCTATATCGTCTATGTTTAGTAGCGTGCGGGGCCTGTCGGGCGAGCCCAGCTCGCTCAACATCCCGCCCCGCCGCCTGGCCGAGGACCTGCAGCGGCTCCTCATCGAGCAGATACTCTCCGACTACACCGTCGTCGTAGAGGGCACACAGGGCAGCCAGGGGGAGGCCATTGCGGTGAGAGGGAGCAGATTAGATCAGATGAGACGAGGAGAGGGGAGAGAGAAATGTGGATGGATGGTGGATGGCCGCGTGACCTGGTGTGTGGTCATGTCATGTGTGCTGTGCTTCTGTCCTTCCGTGCCTTGCGTCTGTGCACTGCAGGCGCACAAGTTTTTGTTGGCTGCTCGGTGTCATTTTTTCGCGGCGGCTAGCGTCACATCGGGCATGCAAGGTAAGTGGTGGTTTGTGGGCGGTTTGTGAGTGGGAGCGTGTGAAGAATCGACCGACACAAGGCGGCCGCCATGTGATGCACACACCATGCACTGCACTTGGCCTGGGGTGTGTGGTGTGGTGTCTTGTGTGTGTGTCTGCAGAGAGCCGTGCTGATTATTTGGTGGTGCCGGCGGACGAGAGCATGACCCCTGAAGCCTTCCGAACATTCCTCAGATTCTGCTACGCCGGTCAGCCAGCCAATGGCATGGCACAGACACATCACAAAGACACGCACCACCACGTCCACCGATCTGGATGGATGGATGGCTGGATGCGCGTGTGCGTGCAGGCGACAATGTGCTGAAGGTGTTGGTGCCGCACACGGCCATGTACCTGATAGAGGCCGCGGGATACTACGGGCTGAGCAACGAGCGGCTGCGGTCGTTTTGCGAGCTGTCGGTCAAGAACAGCTTCAACGAGGAGCACGTGCTCGACATATTCGCCGCCTCGCACTCACTCAAAGTGGAGGCCGTCCGCGAGATGGCTCTGCAGTTCATCGTCACGCACTTCGACCGGTACGTCCATGTGCCTCCATCCATCCATCCATCAGGTGTGTGTTGTGTTGTGTTGTGGTGTGGTGTGGTGTGGTCATCAGGATTGGTAAGCAGCCCGGTTTGGAGAAGCTGGACAAAAGCCTGCTGATAGAGATACTGCGGAGGCTCGCCGACAGGGGGCCCAAGTCACAGGCCACGCCGTGCTAGATAGATAGACCAACCGATTGACAACCGATTGATTGAGGAATGGATTCTTCTGGTAGATGGCTGGGGTGGGTAGATGAGCATGAGCGTGTGTGTGGATGGATGGAGGAGGCGTGGGCTGGGCGAGAGAGGGGGGCGGGGCGTCTATCATATCAGTAGGCAGCGGGGATGTATGTGCCGTGCCGCCTTTCCTGCCGGGTCTGTCTGTCTGTCTGTCTGTCTGTCTGTGTTTCTGTCTGTATGTGATGTGTGGTCGTGATCGAGCCATGAATGGATGGATAAATGGATCAATCAGTGGACACACATCATGATGTGTAACCAACCAGCCAACTCGCAGTGTGTGGGTGCCTACGTGCCGTGCCATACGCGCCAGCCACTCGCTTGCTCATTTTTCGGAGCGCTTTCCCTTCCCTCCCAACGACTGACTGACAGGTAGCTGAGGTGTGGACCCGTGTGATTCATTCATGTAACTAACGGACCTGTGATGTCACTCAATGAGTCTCTCTCTCTCTTAACTTACTGTTGGTATGATCAAACAAGCCAACCAGCCCAAACACACATACTCACGCTCACTAACAGCACCCACAGCTTCCATGGATGCTACATACACTACAGCGACCTATACTTGTATCTCGCCCCTCTCAGCTGGCCCAGCTTCTCGGCGCTCTCACCGATCGATCTCTCCACCCAGCGCCGCATACCCACCACCATCCCCACCAGCACCCCAGTGACACACACAGACACACTCCGGCCATTCATGAGCTCGACGAAGAAGACCGACTCACCCATCAGCGACACCAGCACACACAGCTTCTCCAGCTGCAGCAGAGTGTTCGTGTGTTGACGGAGGACGTAACAGCTGCAGAGAGATGACCAGAGAGAGGGCGAGGGTGGGGGCGGCTGGGGCTCTGCGGACTGCGGACTGCTCAAAGTAAAGCCTATTAGTGCCGCACAGGCAGCAGCCCCAATCATCGACACCGTGGAACACACCAGCGCCAGAAGCCTCCCAGCGGCTGAGTCCGATAAGGTCGGCGATGTCGGCCCTGTGTTGGGATAGATCAGCCGCGCAAAGAGGGCTCCCGCAACGGTGGCACACGCGAGTGCAGCCAGGGAGGCCAGCCCTCCCACTAAAGACCGCCAAAAGAGTGCGTCCCTGGCGAGTTGTTGACTGAATGATGCGATGATTGCCTCCTGCTCGTCCTCGTCGATAGGTGCAGCATCGGCCTCGGCATTGGCAGCGGCAGACGTCAGCTTGTTCCTTCGCGCCTTCACTTCATCTGATGTCTGCATCCCGCATCATTCGATGAGTACATATTCCCTTTTGTTCCTCTTTTCGACGTGCAGATCTTTCCAAGCTCGCAGCAAAGCTCGCAGGGAAGTTGTGCTCCTCCCCCCCGGCGAAGACTGCTAACGTCGAGGTGAGTTGCACGCATTCTCATTGTCATCATATCAGGAAGCACAAGTATTGGCTGGCTCGTGCCCTGCGTGTTTTGTGATGTTCAGTCAGTGTGCCAGATCCACTCACTCGTCTGCAAGTGCTCGTCGTCGTCACGGTGACCACCTCTGCTTTGAATTTGACGCAGGTATATGGTCGTCATATGACGAGTAGACAGGACGTCACAAGAGGACGCAGAGATGTCTGCCTGTCCTGGGTACAGGTGTGTAGACAAGTCCAACCACATCAGATGGCGTCTACGTCGACTGTGGTGTTTGCTGCGACTGCGCCACCGCTGCTGCCGCAGGGATGGGTGAGACTGGATGCCGTGGAGACCCAGTTCGATGAGGGCACCAGCGATGTCACCCGCCGGCTTGCCATGGGCATCATCCACCGCACGCTCACCAGTGCCGCCGAGGTGACACAGCTCATACAGCAGGGGGCAAACCCAAATGCTCGGCCGCTACTGACAACAGCGGACCGACAGCGAGAGCCGAGTAGCCTGGGGTACCCTCTGCTGGCTCTTTCCATCGATGACATGACCGATTTCACCCTCGGAGCCATCGAGGCACTACGACCAGCGGGGTTCGTTGGCGGGTCAGTGAGCAAGACACCGTCACATACGCACACAGATGCCCATCTAGGGTGACATGTGTACATGCATTCAATCTGTGTCAGGTGTCCCGTCGCCATGCCTCGCTGGCCTTCTACTGACCTCCAGGACGCCGTCATGAATGCCCTCATCGATGGCGGGGCTGACATGAACGCGGCGGATCTTTCTCGGATAGAACATAGACCCTTCCAAATCGCCGTGGCGGCGGGCAACCAGGCGGCACTCGGTCTTCTGATGGCGCGCAACGTGCAGCTGCGAGGGTTCATGGTAATGCAACTGCCACATGTGCCGATAGTCAGATTATTCCGTCCTACCCCTGCCCTCGAGAGCCAGCTGCTATGCATCTATCGCCGGCTTATCCAAGACGACAGCACACTGGCAGACGAAGGAAACGGATGGGGCTCAGGCGACCATGTGATGCGCTATGTAGCGATGAGAGGCGGAGAGTACTCGCAGGCCTTCCTCGACAGCTACCTGGATCTGCTGGTGGACAACGGCGCGAGTATTATGGCTGCGGACGGGGATGGCCAGACAGCATTCCATTGGGCGGCCTTCGCCGGGGCCCACCGCGTGATTCATTGGATGTCTCGGCACGTTTCGGCTGGGGAGATCAATAGACGGACGAATCAGGGTGCTGACGGATATACGGCCCTCGACGAAGCTGCCTCTCAGCTCGACTGGTTCACCGAGTGGGTGCGGAGAGCCGACTTTGTGTCGGAAGAAGAGGAGGAGAACATTCGCAGGAGGATACCTGTCCAGAAGACTTGCATCCTTGTGCTGCTAAGAGGCGGTGCAGCCCCATCGATTGCCCACCTTCCTACAGCAACCGAGGCGGACCGCCGTTGCCGCCAGATGGTGCTCACCGAGTATGCGACAGTGCTGAATGAGCTGCGTGATGTCGTCATGGAGGCAATCAACACCGCCCTCGCACCCCAGCGCGATTACTCGATGCTTCTCACGCGTCTGCTGACCCTGGTGACCCACCACGATGGCCACCCCGCTCACCCATCCCCCTCCACCCTCTCATTCGGACCACAGGAGGGAGAGGCCATCGCCTGGCATGTCGGGTCATTCCTCTATCAGCCCTCAACAGCCATGGCGACCATCGATGAGTACCTGATTGGCGACTCGGTGCTGAGGCAGCATGTGCGGGCGGCCGTGGCGCACTTCGTCAGACAGGCGGCCACACGTACGGCGAGCAATAGGGAGGTGGTGGGCGGGACGCGCCAAGAGGGCGGGCAGACGGTGCGCGTGCCCTCCCTTCAGTGCTTTGCCATTGCCAGCGGCAATGGGGGCCGTGCGGTGCGCATGGTGGGTGTGCGTGAGGTGGTGCATCGAGCCCGGCTGGACGAGGCGGAGCAACACGGCGTGGCGGGTGTGATCAAGGGCTTCAATGAACACCTTGGGGATGCGGACTGCCAGTTTCAGTGGCGGCAGTTAGGGTACATGACCAGGGGGGTGTTCATGTCGCTGGGCTTCACGTGAAAAAGGGCTGAGTGGCTGACGGGTGCTGACGGATGAGTGTTTTGATGCTGTCACTTTGCGTCACGCAATAGTGGATGGGTGGGTGGGATGGATGGGTGCATGTGGTTGGGCTGGGGGGTTGATAGGGAGGGAGGCCCGCTGCCTTGCTGTGGACCTGTGGCTGCATGGCCGCTGATATGTCATGGTATCTGTGTGGGTCTGTGCGTGTCTGTGTGTGTGTGTGCTTGCCAATTAAATGTTTGCATGGGTGCACCTCAATCTCATTGACAGATAACAGCGTCCCACACAGTCAGTGGGTCTGTCCACCGTTGAAAACGCACAGGCATCTGGGTGGCAAAGGATGAAGCCGATTCCTGGTGTCATGCTCCCCGAACGTCGAGGGTCAGTGCGCGCATCGTTTAAAAGCCAGTGCAGATCTCTCTCCACTTGCACTTATGCTTGCAGACGAGAGTAAAACAACAGGTTGGTTGGTTGGTTGGTTAGTGTGTTTAACGAGACTCGTGTTTGTAACCCCGGAGGGATCCTGTTGTCTCACGCACTAAACTAGCAGCATGTACATGCAAAGCATGCACACGGCCTGTCTACCCCTCCCTGCACTGGCACCGGCGGACAAACAGATGGCAGCAGAGAGCACTGGCTGCCTTGTAGAACGTTGACAAACACCGATTCTGGCTACATACACAAGAACGGGCGCTGTCGCCCAGCAAGAGCCATGGCAAGTGTACAGAAGCCAGAAGGGGGAAGTGGAAAAATGAGCGCTCTCTGAGCCACCAAAGCAACGATCAGCCAATCACAGGGGACTTGGCCGTCCGGCCGCCTAGGGTGGTTCCTGAAACTGCTGACTGCACTGAGTGGGAAAAAGGGGGGAGAACCACTCAATCACATACCATTATCTAGTGTGGCTTCTGGGCTTCAGCAATGAATGATTCGTCCAAGCGAGTGAAGTGGAAGCTGAATCCATCCGCTTTGAGGCGCTACGGAGGGCTCTGTGCGTCATGCATCGGGTACTCCCGCATGAGGCAGGATCTCCAGCAAAGCACATACCTGCCAACACACACACACACACACACACACGGGATCCATCAGTGGTTCACTCATGCCGCGAGTCATGCGCTCTTTGCCGTGTATGTCTGTCTTTCAGGCTGACAGCCAATTTGGTGATTGCAGCAGTGGAGCCCAATGTGTCCATCTTCAGCGGCCATGTCATCGGCATGGCTTCTGCCGTCGGCCTGCTGCTGCCCCTCAGCCTCTTGAGCTTCACTGCACTGCGCGGCGCTACCAGGGACTTCTCACACGCCATGCTCAATGCTGCCACGGTCGTGGCAATAAGCATCGGTAAGGTGTGAGGCCATTCATTCTCGCCATTCACTCACCGACCTGCTCGTGTCGTGCGTGTGGTGGTGCATGAGCTGCTCTTCCATCCATCCATCAGGTTTCGCGTGTATCTATTACAACAAGCAGATCAACAAGAAGCCCCACTTCACCACCTATCACTCGTGGGTGGGCCTGGCCGCCTTCCTGGCAATGGCTGCCGCGAGCATGGGAGGCGCTCTGTACTATTATGGCAGGGGATTTCTGCCGAGGAGCGTGTCAGTGGTGGTCAAGAAGGTGCACAGGACGGCTGGGTGGCCTGTGTTCTTTGTCGGGCTGGCCGCCATGGAGCTGGCCATGTACTCTGGGTACACACATACAAACGCACCGACACAAAGGAGACTTTGTCTGTGTCTGTCTGGTGTGGTTGGAGGTGCAGGTGGACGGTCAAGCACCCCCTGCTGTCTGCGTGGTGGTGCTGGTACATGGTGGTGTGCCTCGTTCCTCTGCTGGGGGCGATGCTCTATGTGGTGGTGGCCAAGGCACCGCCGGTTTACATTTTTGTACGGGATGAGGAGGGGAAGAAAGCCGAGTAGGCCGACAGGCAGTGATGCATGCATGCAGGCGGGCAGGCGGGCCGTGTGTGTGACGGGCGAGTCGTTATATACGTTGTCCGTGAGTAGTAGTTTTCTTGTGCAGGGATGATCCCATCGTCTGTTTGACAGAATGCGTGTGCATCAACGTGTGGTAAATTCCATGAGAATGAAGCGTACGTATTTCTACAAGGCCAGTGGCCGTCTTGCCATGGTCGTCCGTCTGTCTGTCTGTCTGTCTACACACATTGATGGACGCGTCAGCGCCCATCAGCCGCTCGAGCTATCTGCCGCCTGTTCAGCACGAATGACGGCAAGCTTCTTCTCATACGCACTATGCACCTGCACAGACAGACCACGCACACAAAGGCAAGACAAAACACAGTCAGTCAATCAATCAATCCACCATCACCGCTCCAAGCACTTGCATCTCATCTGCCTGCCCTTCCTGACGCACCAGATCTTTGATGTCATCATGCTGCTGGATGGCACTCCTCAGCAGCTCAATCAACTCACCTGACACACACACACACACACACACAACCGATGTGTGCAAGTCCTGTCCGCCCATCTTCCACATCTCAGCTCATTCTCTCTCACCTCTGTCCAGCGCGTGTAGCTGTGCGTCCGTGACGTTGCCGAGCATGCGAATGTTCGGTGAGCGCCGCCGGCCACTGACACTGACAGCGGCTCCCTCAGCGCCCTCTCTGCCAACAGCTATAAGTACGGAGTATGTAAGCAAGAACCGATGGATGCATCAACACACATGGCTGTTCTCTTTTCCGTTCACCTCTGTTGGGCGAGGTGGCATCTATTCGTGGCCGCTTTGCGCGTGGTTCGGCGCTGGCGCCACCAATATCTTGCGCAGGGGCTGCTCGGCGGATGCCTCCTGACCTGCACAACAACCAAGACAATCAAGAAATCGATGATGGAGTGCCGTTCGAGATGCGGACCTGCTTTGGTTTTGTGCTTCCTTCGGCTCGTCAAAGAGATTCGCGATGCCTAGATCTTCCAAGGAATCATCCATCGGAGAAGTCGAAGCCAGCTGCCTCGCAAAGGCGAGCCGAAACATTCCGTGAAACCGCTCTCTCTACTGAGACCGAACAGAGAGAGGATGAGCAGCAGAGAGTCAGGAGCGGCACCAGCGAGCTGACCGAAAAAGAGCTGAGAGAGAGCTCTCGTTCAGAGATCGGAGAGAGAGAGAGATGTCTGTGTGTCTTCTGTCTCTTGTTTGTTGCATTGCACTGCAGGTGTGCAAGACTGACTGCTGCCACCGAGTCGCCCGCCTCGTTGCTGGCATCCATCGTCCTTGTCTGCCGCTGTACTCGCTCTTCCAGCCCAGCCACTCGCCACCAACCAAACCAATGCAGCGGCCGTGCCTCTTGGTCCTTGCTGGCCTTCTCGTGAGCGGCTGTCTGCTGTCCGTGCGTGGTGACCCTGCAGCAGCAGCGGAAAATGACACCTCGGTGGTGGCGACGACTGAGGCGACGGAGGCAGACTTCGACGAGCACATCAAGGAGAATCCCTATGTGGTGGTGATGTTCTACGCGCCATGGTGTTTCTGGTCGAAGATGCTGCTGCCGGAATTCGACATCGCGGCGGCCAACCTGACCGTCCACGACCCTCCCGTCAAGCTGATCAAGGTCGACTGCGACTGCGGCGGCGTCCGCTGTGAGTTGTGTGGATCTGATAGATATAATATCACTGGGTATCCGACACTAAAATGGTTTGCGGACGGCAGTTCTGACTCACCGACGCCTCTCCCCCTCGGGGGGTCTTCGAGCGCTGACGAGATCGTTGAGTGGGTCGAAGGCCAGCTGAGCAACTCGACCAATCAGGTAGGGATGGATGGATGAACGAGCAGCGATCTGTCAGTCAGCCGGTCGATCACCGTGTCGTTTGCCTGTGTGGTGTGGTGTGGTGTGGTGTGTGTGCAGGCAGATCAGACACTTGCAGAGGAGCCAGTGCCTTTCCGCCGGACGCAAAGCGGTACGCACCTAGGCACTTACGCAAATGAATAAAAACTGACTCAGATTACTTACTGATGGGTGGATGGATGCATTGGTGTGTGCAGACCCTGCACCAGTAGCGGAAAGTGACACGTCGGTGGTGGCGATTGAGGCGACGGAGGCAGACTTTGACGAGCATATCAAGGAGAGTCCCTATGTGCTGGTGATGTTTTATGCCTGGTGGTGTCCAGCCTCTCAGGCGATGCTGCCTGTCTTCGACAACGTCACGGCGAATCTCACTGAGCGCGACCCTGCCGTCAAGCTGATCAAAGTCGAGTGTGACGGCAACCCTGACCTCTGCGAGAAGTATTGGATTGAGCACGTTCCCATGCTCAAGCTCTTCACAGACGGCAACTTGACTGAGCTGGCGACGTACGAGGGCGAGAAGGGCGTCAAGGCGATCGTCGACTGGGTGGACGGCCAGCTGAACAACACGACCATGGCAGCACATCAGGTATGCCAAACACACGCGCGGATCAGATGGACGGACGATCACCGATTGTCTGTCTGTGTGTATGTCGTGCTGTGTGCAGGCGGATGCGACACTTGCAGGGGACGAGAGCGATGAGGCCGTCGAAGGTGTTCCTCTGCGGCGAACCGAAAAAGGTACACACACACGCAGAGAGACCGAGACAGAGACAGAGACAGACAGAGTGCATGTCCTTCTTTGTCTTCTCTTGCGTGCAGACTCGTCGCATCGTTGCCAGAGATTCCATCTGCGTCGTGCGTGAGGGCAGCCAGTGCGTGTGGTGCGGTGTGGTGTGGTGTGATGGGGTTCGTCTGCTCTTCTCTGGTCGCTCTGTGGGCTGGCTGGTCACATCAATCTGGTGGACCAGCGACAGACAGACAGACAGACAGACGGAGGGAGGGAGGGAGGGAGGGGTTGACTTAGTGGATGGATGATCACATGTCGGCCCGTTGAGGGCCGACCTGTCTGTCTTTCTTACTTGCAAGTGTTGTTTGTCTATCAACAGATTCAGAGTCAGTGGCTGTCGATTGTCTGTTGTCTGTTGGGTGGATGAGATGTGACGTACACATGTCGGCCCACTGAGGGCCGCCGACCTTCTTCCGTGCCAGTCAGTGTTGTTTGTCAATCAACAAAGTCAGTGGGGTGGGTGTCGAGCCTGCCTGTTGGGCTGATTGCGTGGTTCTGTGTGGGTGTGTGGGTGTGTGGGTGTGTGGGTGGGCTGATTGTGCAGACGCGCAGAGAGAACGTACTTCCACGACGAATGAAATGAATCACTCACTGATATAAAAGCGACCACGGATATAAAATGTAGGCAGCGATCAGCCTGACGGAACAACAGAGACACACAAGGGAATGCGCTCGCCGCAGACACACACCCACAATAAGCATTGATTCCTCCACCCTCCTACCCGACAAAGATCCATTGCATTGCTTCATCGGATGGTGGGCCATCTTACGGCGAGGAACAGACACGAGTACCGGAACCGCTTGTGCACCAGGAAGCCCATCTGTGTTTGGGCCTGATGCCTGTATGGGGTGATGTGTGGATGGATGGATGGATGCTTTAAAAGCTGACACACAGGCAGACAGACAGACAGACGATTATGAGATGCCAGGATGATCGAGATGATGATGAGGATGATCAAGTTCAGCCACGCCACCTTGTTCGCCGTATCCAGCCGCTTCCAGGAACAGGATCAGCCAGACGATGGTGAGGATCCCGCTGATCACCCCTATAACCAAGTTTGCCCTGTCAGCCCCTGGCGCGTCTTGATGCTGAACAAGGAAACCAGGAACCTGCCCCAGCAACTGGGGTTCTCGAGGCCAGCGTTGACAGCCACGTGACCTGCAGACAGAACGACAAAGACACAACGCTGGCGTTGCTTCATTGGATTGTGGGCCATGGCCATCTTACGGCGAGTCACAGACACGAGTACGGGACCCGCTTGTGCACCAGCGACCCCATGGTTGCCAAACGCCAGTGATGGAATCTGGTCGTCGTTGGCAGGAGTCAGGGGTGACACGAGGCCGCAGGTCATCGAACAACCCCACGAGATGCGTCCGTACGACCCCACGAGATGCGGCTTTTCATCAAGCACAGAGAAGATCGTGGCGTCGTCCGCGTTGGAGGCTGCACGTTGTCGAACAAGGACACGAGAAACGGCCGTACCGCAACGACAGTCGGCTTTTCCTCAACCGCTATGAACCTCTCAGGCTTATCCTTCTCCTCGCCTCAGTTTCCGCCGGCCACTCATGGTCTCGCACTCGATGGACTCGATGGAGCCGAGCCTGCTGTTGCAACGGTGGCCAGTGGAGCGGAGCCTGCTGGCATCCGTCAATATATCAGCTGTCGTTCAAACAGCCCAGGATCCGATCGCATCCACGATTGAGTTGTCGGCCATGAGCTGACATGACACCATCCCCGACACCGAGGGATACCACCTTGCTCTACAAAGGGACATATACATACATCTCATAAATGTGCCTGTATTGTGTGCGTGTGCGTACCCTTTTCTTCTCACATCGGTCAGAACATGGGAGGCATTCTGCGTGTGCAAGGTGAACCTCATATTATTTCTCGTTAGATGCATCCGATTCTCAATGCACCCCCGTGCTTACCCAGTCGAAGATGACGACCCTGGTGCCTTCTTGGCCACCCAACGCCGCACGTGAGGCCGCTTTCCATGCTCTCGGGAGCCGCCTGCCTTGTTCGAGCTGGAGAGAGGGCAATCGAGAGAGGGCAGGGGCCGGGCGGTGGCTGCCGAGTGCCCCTCAGAGCCGCAGTAAGGGCTCCTGCACGTGCATGCTGACGCCACGCCGATGGATGGCCCTTGCAGAGGTTGCCTTTGTAGAGAGAACAGCCTTTAATTGTGGAAAGAACAGCGTGGCACATTTCAAACACCAAGAGCGATTGGAAAACCAGAGGGCAGGGGGAAAATGAAAGGAAACAATCTTCGTTTCCAACCTAGCCGTCTCGTAAACGCGATCAAGAAATTCTCGCCACATGTCAGTTGTGGTGTGGCCGTCCCTCACTGATGTACATTGTAGGAGCAGTTGCGACGTCCATATGCGAACCGCGTTTGCCCTGAGGATATTCGTTGCCCGCCACTGCGGACTCACCCCGGCGGCGATTGCATCATGGGTGCGTTATGGCTCCCGGCGGCTTCTGTCGTGGCTGTGGCGACTGGTTCCAGAAGTTCTTATGGAGCCCCTGCTGGCGTTCGACCTCACTCAGCTGTCGTTCGCCCAGCAGGATCTCGACGATAAAGATGATACCCATCGATCAGACGCACGCGTCTCATTCTACGCAGCGGCACTTGCATATCACGCAAAAACGCCATTAAAATGAGCACACGAGTGCACGAGTGTATGCAGATTATATGGAAAAACGCCGCCACTCGGTCGCCGGCCACGCACTTCGCGATTCTCAGTCACTGAGACGTCTTGTCAAGACCGCTCACCTCACCCACCGCACCCATCCCAGCAGCACTCCTCCCTCCCTCCCCTCGATCTGATCCAACAAAACACTTACGGTGTGACGTACAAATGTGTGCAATAAATGCAGACAGATACACACACACTCATTGAACATATAACCTCTGTCTCTCTCTTTTCTCTCACCTCCACCCCTCACTAAACGTACTGGCAGGTAAGGCAGCCACAGCTGGGCACCACACAACACGCAACTCTCTCCTCCCTCCCTACGCACGTCACATCATACACATCACTTGTTGTCACTCGTGGCCGCCGTGCTGGGCAAAGTGCTCGGCGCGGTCGGCTGCGGCATGTGGGTGTGCGTGTGAGTGGCGGCGTTGTGGAGAGGGGGAGGGGGTGGTAGTGTGGGTGTGGATGGCTGTGGGTAGCTGGGCGAGGGTAGCATGTGTGTGTTGATGGGCGTGCCGGGGTCGATCTTGCGGCTGATGACCGAGTAGACGTCGGGCTCGGCCATCCCGTGGGGCGTGATCCAGACGTGGCGCACACCTGATCGATCAAACACACACATGCAATGCAAACAAGGAGAGAGAGAGATGCACGCGTGTGTGTGCGTGTGTGTGTGTGGGTAGAGAGGCTACCTTACCTGCTTGGAGTCGCTGAAGCTCGAGAGCCACCATCCCGAGGAAGATACTGGGCGACGCCTGACACACCTGCAGAAAGACAGAAAGACAGACAGACAGACAGACGCACACCCACTTCACTTATGTCTGTTTGTCTGCTCACACGTGTGTGTGTGTTGTGTGGTGTGGTGTGGTGTGTGTGTGTGTCTGGGTGATCCTCAGGCACATCAAAGAGGGTGCGTGCGTGTCTGGGTGGTGGTCTACGTGCCTGTCGGTGCTGCGTTATCTCGCCCCCGTGCACGCGGCACGACTCCGTCAGCAAAGCACCTGACACACACACACACACAGAGATGCCTACCTGCGTCATCTGATGTGTTTGGTGTGTGTAGAGTCACCTACCCAGTTTGAAGTCGCTTGATTCGTTGACCGTCTTGTTGACCAGGCCTGCACGCATCGCATCACACACACACACACACATGGATGGATGGATGGATGCCTTTCAGCCTTATGATAGCCATGCAGTCACTCACTCACCGAGCGCAAGGGTTCTGGCCAGCTCGAACATCGCTTCTCTGTGGTCCGTCTGCACACACATCAAACACACACACATACACACACACATGTGCGGTGCGAGCACCCATCCCATGTGTGTGTGTGTCTACTCTACATAGGTACCTACATACCTGTCGCTCGACCTCAAAGTTGTCCCTGCTGACTTCCAGGCCGTAGGCCACCATCTCCTTGATCACACGATTGGCGGAGATCTGCAATATAAGACACACGCATCCATCCGCCCACCCGTGGTTGTGGTGCGGTGTGTCGTGGTGGTCCCATCCCAGCTTCTTTGCCTGCCTTTGGGTCGAGAGCGACAGGCGGGCCGTGACGCATGTACTGCAGCACGAAGGGGAACAGCTCGGGGTCGCCGTCAACTGCATCGCATGACGAATGACGACACACACACACATACACACATAGCAACCGCATGCAGTGATTGGCTATGTGTGACTGACTGATCTGACAGACACACCGTACCGTAGAGAGCCTCTGTCTGGTCCAGCTCGGGGTCGTCTATCATCTGCACACACATACACACACACACACACACACACACACACATGCAATGCCATCCAGACATCCACACAGCACTCACTACAGCACATGCATGTCTGTCCGGTCCTCCCTGCCCTGCCTCTCTACCCCACCCTTGAGAGCAAACAGTTCGGGAACTTCTTGATGGTCGTCCTGCACACACACAAAGAGATCTTTATCGTCGCATGCATCGCATCGCATGCACTAAAAGATCTGCAAGATTGCGTTCCTCGCTCCGACTCAGACCTGCTGGTGGAGAACTCCTTCCCGCCCACATTGAACCGCACGTGAGAGGGCTTCGCCATCGTAGTTTGCAGTCGAGTGACCACTTTCCCGCAGCTCTTTCCCGCAGCTCGCAACATCTCTAAGCTCGCAGGTTCCTTGGGCAAAAAAACTCATTGAGATGAGAAAATAAGATGCCGTTCGGCGGCGTCGGAAGGCATCGCACCTCGTGGCATCTTGCTATCAGTTGACAAAGTGCGTGCTGGTGATTGTGATCATGGTGATGATGAGTCTGCGTCAGATGGCTGCAGCATCAGCTACTGCTGCTGCTGAAGGGCTGAGCACTCTGACTCTTGGGGGAGATGGCGGGTAAGTCACACACAGATGCACAGACAGACACACAGACAGACAGACAGACAGACACACAGACAGACAGACAGACAGATGCACAGACAGACAGACACACAGACAGACAGACAGACAGATGCACAGACAGACAGACAGACAGACAGACAGGCGGACAGTGTTTGTGACATCTCTTCAGGCCGCAATCGCCTCAGAGTCTGATGGAGCAGATCAGCCCACACCTCTTCCACCTCACAATCGGTAAGTACGGTTACCGACACACAGTCACACACACACACACACACAGACAAGGGTGTTGTGTTTGTTTGTCGGGCACTCATTCATTCATTGCATGTGTGTGTGTGTGTGTGTGTGTGGTTGACTTGCCTTGCCAGGCTTTGACCTGTTGACGAGCTTTGCCTATGTCAGTATACCCATTCAGATCTTCTTCTTCGTCGTCAGGTACCCTACCTACCTGACGTGTGTGCGTCTGTGCGTCTGTGTGTGTATGTGGGTGTGTGTCTGACTGTGTGTGCGCACACACATGGATGGATTGACTGACGAGTGTGTGTGGATGGATGGATAAAGGTACCGCATGGCGACGGAGTTCAACCCCTTCTCGAAGCTGCTCGCCGACCAGGCACACAGACACATGCACACACACACACCACACACAGACGGATGCACTGACTGACCTCTCTCCTTCTCCCTCTCCCTCTCTCTCTCTCGTGCGTAGGTGTTGACGGCCAAGGACCAGGTTGAGGTGCTGACGCTGGGCGTCACATTCATGCTGTTTATATGTGAGCTTCATGGCCACGCCTCCACACCCACAGGGTGGGCTATCTCTCTCCCTCTCTGCACGGGTGTGTGTGTCTGTGTGTGTGTGAAGTCTTCTGCGGAACGACCCACTTCATGACCGGTGCGTCCACACACACACACACACACTGACTCACACTCATGGAGGGGGTGATGTGTGGTGTGTGTGTTCAGCGCTGACCGATGCCCATTTGACACACGCGATGGGCTTGCTGTCCTTCCTCAAGTCAGTGCGGGCCCACACACCTTTGTGCAATGTACTATGTCTGTGCGGGGAGGGGATGTGTGTGTGTCCATATGTGTGTGTGTGTGTGTGTGTCTGTGTGAAGGGGTGTCACGTGTGTGGTCTCGCTCATCACGGCCGGTGCGGTGGCTGCACATGTGTCACATCCACCCACACCACACCACACACATAATCCATCCATCGATCTGTGCAGGCTGCCTGGTGTGGATCATCCCCTCTATGCTCACCTGGATGGAAGGTCAGCCATGTGCACTGCAGAGCACTGCACTGCACTCACCAACACGCCTGCAGTGCGCGCACATTCTTGTCTGTGTCTGTGTGTGTGTGTGTGTGGCGTCTGTCTGTGTGTGGTGTGGTGTGTGTTTAGGCATAGAGGTGACCAAGAAGGGCTTCGTTCGGGTGCTGGCCGACGAAGCCGGCGGGCCAGTCATCCACACGTTCAGGTTAGTATCACTGAATGAAATGAAGAATGACCATGGTATGGTGCAACCACCAGCCAAGAGGGGTGGACCCCCATGTGTGTGTGTGTGTGTGTGTTGGCAGGGCGGGGCAAGCTCAGCCGATAACCTCAATAAGGATCGAGGGCCGGCTATCGGGTCAGTTTATAACTGACTGCAGCAACCCCCGCCCCTCACGAGTGCACACATACATCTCTGTGTCTGTGTCTGTGTGTGGGGTGGTTGGTGGCAGCGGAGGAGAGAGAGGCTCTCGTGTCGCCTCTGAGCAGGTGTGTGCGCACTTCATATGTGTGTGTGAGAAGCCATCTTCCCCATTTGTGTGTGTGCGTGTGTGTGTGTGATCACATCTATCCATGTATGCAGCGAAGGAGAGGAGACGGCCGACTCGCCGAAAAGGCGGACTGTGCTCATAAAGGTACCTGTCCGTCCTCACCTGAACTTACACACACATGGATGGATGGATGGATGGATGGACTGCATTTAGGTGCGCGACCGAGACAAGAGCGTGCCGCTGCTGCCGGAGACAGACAAGAAACACGGCCATGCTCCAAAACGGTACACACACACACACACACACATCCGTCCGGTGTGTGTGTTTGGCCACATGTGGGTGCAGGAAGCCCCCCTCGCCCTCTCCACCCCTCCCATTGTCATCAGCAGTGGCGCGGGGCAAGAAGCCTTCGCCACTGTTGCCCACACACACGGGACACACGACACACTACGCACTTGCACATGGGCCAAGTAAGATAGAGAGAGACAGAGACGCACACAGACATGCACACACACACACAGGAATGGATGGCCAATGTGTGTGTGTGTGTAGTGTCCGAGGGCGCCCTGTCTTGTGTGCCGGACGATGTGCTTCGAAGGGTGCTGCCAGAAGGTCAGTCAGCACATGGTGGCACACGCGCAGCCCCAACACGCACCCATGTTGGTGTGTTGGCTGATGCACTCATGCATCCGTCCCGTGCAGCCACCTTCGCGGCCTACATGAAGATGCGGCAACCTCCTCCACCCCAACAACAACAGCAGCAGCAGCCGGCAACACCGTCATCAGCCTCGATGGACATCGAGCAGGGGGGCGGGGGAGGGGGAGCGTGCAGCCACGAGATGCAGGACATGTCCAAACCGGTCCCTGTGGCTGTGCCACCAATCCCACCACCCCCACCGCCACCCCCAGCAGCAGCAGCAGCTCTTGCAACACACGTACGCGCTCAGACCGAGACATCCATCTATCCATCCATCCATGTGTGTGTGTGCGTGTGTGGCAGAGTCACGGACAGCAGCAGCAGGGGCCGGCCAAGAAGCGGAGAACAGACGGCCCCGTCCCACCGATGCACCACCCGATGCCTCATCCGATGGAGGAGTGCTCTCCCACCGCCACAGCCACCACAACCAACACCAACACCAACACGCTGCTGCTGCAGCCCTCCTCGTGCTGTACAGGCGACACACACGCAGATCAGCTGCACGATGACCCCTACTGGGTGCCCACACCGCCACACCCCGACACCGTCATGCAGCGGACACACACCCACGCCCAGCAGCAGCAGCAGCTGGAGGAGGAGGTCCGCACACACACCACGCGCACACACACACATGGGAGTGTCTCTGTGTGTGTGTGTATGTGTGTGTGTGTGTGGGTGTAGGAGAGGGCGCTGTCTGACTGTTCGCTGGACGATGATGTGCTCTTGACGAGGAAGGCCGTCGAGGCGAAGAAGATATCACCATGGTGAGCTATGCCTGGCCATCCATCTGTGTGTGTATGCGGATCACACGTGTGTGTGTGTGTTGAAAGGGTGGCGCCAGACCACATGGGCCACGTGCGCACGCAGTTCACCGACCTCATGCGGCACACCATGCACACAAAGGGTAAGGCAGCCTCTTCCTGTGCGCGTCAATCCATCCATCCAGCCATATGTGTGTGTGTGTGTCTCTGTGTGTGTGTTTGTGTAGCAACCACGCCCATCTCCGCTTTGGTGGCATGGCAGAGGAAACCGCTGCTGAAGATGCTGTCCATCCACAGGAAAAAGGCAGGCGTGCCTTCCCACACACCCCGGCGCACAAATGGCCCCATCCATCCATCCATCCATGCATCCATCCATGTGTGTGTGTGTGTGTGTATGGTGCAGGAGAATCGGTACTACTCGTCGCGCATCTACAGGATCACATTGCCGCCAGCGTATGTGCGGCGGCCGAAGCACCCCTCCGTCAGGATGTGCCCGAGGGCATCGTTCCTCGTCCCTGGCAGAAACATCGCACGGTCAACAAACACACAGGGCAGGGGTGGGTGGATCAATGGACGGACGGACATGTGTGTATGTGTGTGCAGGATCGACATGGTGAAGCTCTACGGCGATGGCGATGGCGGCGGGGAGGCCCCAGAAAACCCCACGGAGGAGCAGCGGGATGTGTCGTCTCATCACCATCGTCATGTGCCTCGTGCGCTCCAAGTGCCCGCCATGGTGGACGAGCCGCCCACACGCGCAACGAGCGAGGTACGTGCAAAGGTGGGGAAGGGGGCGGATGGGCGCAAAACGGTGCATCTGTGTGTGTGCGTGTGTGTGTGTGTGTGTGGTAGAGTCACGTGAATCACAGGAGCACGGCCTCCGACCGAGAGCGCGGCGATCGGGTACGTGTGTGTGTGTGTGTGTGTGTGGCTAGGCCGACACATACGGGGGCACTCGTTGGTGTGTGTGTGTGTGTGCAGAGGGAGGACCGCAGTCCGGTGGTTCATGTCCGCGGCAAACCCGGCAAACTCTTGAAGGTACACACACACATAGACACAACACGGATCTCTGCATCTCTCTCTCTCTCTCTCTCTCTCTCCGTGTGTGTGTGTGTCCAGCGGTTTCCTCTGTCATGATGATCATCCTGGGTGTGGGTGTGGGTGTGAGCATATTCCCTTTATTTCTCTCGCGCGCCACGAGATGTACAGATTGGTCGTTATCGTAGGTGCCACTTACAGCGGACACACATAGATAGCATTTGAGACACTCCCGTCCTTCCCGATTATTAATAATCATATGGAATGCAATCAATGCGATCTCTCCGTCTGTGCCCGAACCAATTGGTCAGCCAAGAAACACCAGAGCAGAGCAGAGCAGAGCATACACACGCCATCCGATCCACGCCATTCAACACGCCAATTTGTTTCACCCTCGTCTGTGTCTGTCCCGCTCTCTCCGGCCAGGGGAGCCCACCGCCACCGGCGGCACTGCAGCCACACACACACACACACACCCCCTTCCATCCATGGACCACATGAAAAGCGTCAACCGATATTACTTACCGTGTGTGTAGGGGTTGTTGCGTGCTGGAGCGGGCGGCTGTGGGCGTGTGTGTGGGGGTTGGGTGATGATGGTGCCCAGTAGCTCTTCTCGTTGCGTCTCGAGCATGGCACGCAGCTGACCCTCCTATATAGACACACATACACACAGGGAGAGAGAGAGGAAGCCGTCAGTGTGCTGTGCTGTTCTGTGCTGTGGCCGTCCGTGTGTGTAGGTGAGTACTGACTGTTATCTCAGCAGCTTTGAGCTGGTCGGAGAGATCCGCAATGAGCTGATCCTGCCCCCCACCAAAGCAACACGTCATTGCAATGCAACCATGCATCAAAACTTGACTTGCATTGAGTGCTGGATGGAGACACAATAAATACACAGACATTCGTACCTTTTCGTCGACGGCCGCCCTGACTTTCTCCTCCAGCCGTTTGAGGGTCTCGGCGGAGCCCTGCCGGTGCTCGTCCAATTCACGCGCAGCACGCTCCTGTGGACAAACGACACAATGACACACGTGTGTGTGTCCAAGTGCGTGTCCGTGTGTGTGTGTTCTTACCTGTTCCCTCTCGAGGGATTCCTGCAGCTCAGTCATCTCGGTTTTGAGGCGCTCCTCCGCAGCCTATGTGTCCACGAGAGCGATGCGCCTAGCCTAGTATGTGTGTGTGTGGGTCACTACTTGGAAGTGTTGCTTTGCAGCCTGCAGCTTTTCGGCGTGCCGACTTTGCTCCGTAGACATGGCGCTCTCAACACACTGCACGGTGGACACACACACACACACACACAAAACACATCATGTGTGTGTGCTGACTGTACTGTGTCATCTCACTCACTTTGAGCCGGTCCGCAAGGGTGCTCTTTTCTCTCTCGGCCTCCAGTGCCCTGACCTCTTCCTTCGCCAGCCTCTCTCTCAGCTCGTTGATGTCATGCACTGACGCCTATACACGTATATATATGGGCAGGAGACACACAGAGATGGATGGATGAATAGATGGATGTATGTAGGTGTTGGCATACCTGCAGCTTGGCCCCGGTGTCGTGCACTCGCTCCTGCAAGGCGGCTCTCTCCTCCGCCCACTCTCTCTTGGCGCGATCCATCTGAAGACACACACACACACACACACATGACATTGTGCGGCCAATCAATCCTTCTCTCCTTCTCTCCCTGTCTATCTATCAAACAGACATAACAATGGCTATGTACCGTACCTCAGCGCTGAGGTGTCTGGCGTGGCTGTCCTGCATGCGCGTGGTCTGCTCTTTCAGCTGCTCCCTCACGGCAGCGATTTCCTTCTTCTTGTCCTCCTCCATCTGTGCCCTCATCTCCTCGATGGCGTCACTGTGCTCCTTCCGCAGCTTGGCCGAGAACTCTCGCTGCCAGTCGTCGCGGTCGGCGGCCATCTGCAGGTCAGGTGTTTGTTTGTTCTTGCTTGTCTCTCTCTCCCTCTCTCTCTGTGTCCGTCTCTCTCTCTCTCTCTGCATATGTTGTCGGTGTGAGGGTACTTACCTGTTTATCTCTCTGTTTGAGTTCGTTGGCTTGCCTCCTCTGTGCCTCCTCCGTCTTCTCTGTCAGCTCGGCGATCTTGGCCTCAAGCGTCATGCGCTCGTGCTGCGTGTCGGCCCTAAACAAACATGCACACACACACACACAGAGAGAGAGAGAGAGAGAAACATAAGGACATGCGCGCATATCCAATGCCCGCGGACCCATCTACCGTATCTTGTCTTCGACTTTGCGTCGTTCGTCTCTCATGGAGTCCTCCCACCTCTGCCTTTCACTCAGCATGGCGGTCGCGTGAGCAGAACGCTCCTCAGACAGCTGCACCAACGGGTGGTAGATAGATTAGATGCCCGACAGACAGACTGTCCTTCTACCTGCTTCTCGAAGGTCTCAAACTGCTCGCGAAGGCGACGTCTAAAAGTATAGATACGTTTGCTATGCTATGCTATGCTATGGGGTGTGTGTGTGTGGGTGTTTGTTTGCTTGTGATGGTGTTGAGTATGTAGGTGGGTGGGCACCTCACCTCTGGTGTTTCCTCTCCTCCTCTATGCTCTCCTCGTACTCCCTGGAGAGAGAGGAGACACATACAGACAGACAGACAGACAGACATTCCCCACAGTGGGGTGGCTGCATAGCATACGCACAAACTAACTTGTCCAGCTTGGCGCGCAGTGTCTTGGCCTTCTCCTGATACTCAATCGCCAGCTGCACACATCATATCGACGTGACATGACACACATAACATACGCTCGTGTCAACGGGGTGCAGATGTCTGTCTGTCTGTCTGTCTGTGTGTCATTTATGGCGCCTCGCCTCCTTCTTTGTCTCTTCCAGCTGGTCTGCGAGTTTCCTCTCGAGCTCGTGCTTCTCCTTTCTGTGTTTGTCCATCAGCCGGTCGATCTCTGGCTCCAGGCCCTTGATCGTTATTTGCTGCAGCCATGCCATAAACACAACACACCCACACAAATGGATGGATAGGGCAGACAGACAGACGGCCGGAGGCCGTGCCGTGTGTACCTTTATCTCTTGCTTCTTCTGCTGCTCCCAGGCCTCTCTGCGCGCCTTCTCGGCTTGGATGAGACCCCGTCTCTGTTTGTCCAGCTCCCGCTGGCACTCCCCCTGTGTGTGTATGTTTGTGTGCACCACACACAAAGACACACACATCAGGCGAATGAATGGGCGTGTTTGAGACTGTACCTGAATGTTTTCGATTTTGGCCTCATATCTCCTCTCGATGGCCTTGATGTCACAGGCATACTGCTCACACCTGCAAAAGAGTGAGACACCCACACACACACCCATACACAGAAAGAGACATATGGGGCGGCCCGAACGACTTTTGACCGTTTGGTGAGCTCCTTTTTGTCAGCCAGCAGCCTGTCGATGAGCCGCAGGTGCCTCTCGAGTGTGCTCTCATACCGCTGCACCTCCTTCGCGAAGGACTCCTGCACACACACACGCACAGAGTCCTGTGCGCACGGCTCGTGTTCATAAGAGGCGCATACGCACCTGCAGCCGTGCATTGACCTCTTGCTCGATGGCTGTCTCGCGTCTGCGGGAGAGGTCCAGAGCCTGCAGAAACGCGGCATTTATCTGTGTGCGTCGGGTCGGGCTGAGTGAGTACTGACTGACTGACTTTTCGCAGGGCGTGTATGGTCTTCCTTTTGTCCTCGAGCTCAATCGACATGACAGACAGCCGGCTGCTCATGAACGGGGTGGTCGATTGCTGTACCGTTACATGATACGTGTGCCTCTGTGTTGTCTCTCTGTCTGTATGGTATGTGTGTGCATCTCATCTCATCTTACGTCTCGTGTCGACACGGAGGAGGCCGCTCGCGTGATCGGGGGCAGATGCACGCTCTCCTGTGTGTAGGCATAAAGGAAAGCACACTTGCTTAATCAATTGTGTATGCCTGCATGTCTGTGCAGTCCTACACACATGGTCCGCCGACGAAGGTCGCGACACATATGGGGGCGTCGGCAGCCGACGGGGATGCGTGGTCAGCTGCACGAGACGAGCATGCAGACACACAGACAGACAGACAGACAGACGGACAGAAATCACAACTTGGGTTGCTGTGCGTGGCTGTGTGTTTGTGTTGTGTGAGTGCCCTGCCTGTTCTTACCTGTTGGACAAAAGATGCCACCTTCCCGGCGTGGACAGAGGGGGAGGAGTGGCTATGAAGCGAAGCACACCATGCACACACAGATATTCCAAGTAGAAGAGCACTATGTATGCCTATGTAAGATGCGTACGATCTGAATGGTGACGACGACCGATAGGTGCTGATCGGTCGGTCACACAGCGCAGGGCTGACAGACCCCACAGAGAGAGAGAGAGAGAACAGATGAGACACACACACGTCTGGATGAGTGTACCTTCTTCTAGCGTCATTGGGAGGCGACAAAGCGATGTCCACACCCACACACGCAGCAGGAGGGAGAGGAGCATTCTTATAACACACACACGCAGCAAAGCATCCATCGACCAGCTGATTGATCACACACACGCAGCCAGTCAGCCGCCCCACCCACCCACCTTGTCAGCAGCGATGGGCGGCAGCATCAACTGAGGTCTCTTGGGGGGCAGTGGGGGAAGACCAGCAGACCCAGTCGCACCACACGTCGATAGCGATGTGATGCGATCACCAATTCCACCAGCAGCAGCTCCAACAGCACCAGCATCACCAACAGGCCGCCACACAACCCTCTCTGCACCGCACCAACACACAGAGACACACATAACATAAGCGCTTTCCCCATAATGTCTATATATGAGTGGCTGCGTGATGTGATACCTTCCCGCAATGGCAACGAAGCCGTCGGGGGCGGGGGAATCGGCCGCCACTCAGCTGCCAGCCACACACAGGTTGGAGGAACGAGCTCAGGCCTGGTGCAGTGATTGATTGATTGGCTCATGTGCTGACTACCGGCATCATTACTGTCTCTGGTGGTGTTGCGTGTGGTGGTCTTGAAGGGCGTCGGTGTGGGGCTGAGTGCCCTGGGCTGCTCCTCCTCGCTCACACTCACGCTCCCACTGCCGCACTCAGAGGGCCTCTTCATAACACAGTGCTCATCTTGCCGCCGGCGAGACTGCACGTCGTGAGACAAAAAGACAGACAACGAACGGCAATTGCATGATTGAGACCGTGCAGACGGTGCACTCCTCTGTCCTTAAGGGTCTGCAGTGCGGTGGTAACCCTGAAGAAGCTCTGAATGGTCTTGGCGGCGAACTCACGCAGATAGGCATTGTCGGCATCAACTGGGGGCTCGGCTGGCAGGGCCGCCATTGCAATATCAACCAGTTCCCAATGCCGGCAACAATCCGATGATGCGATGTTTCTGAGACGGTCTTTTGCGGCTCGCAGCCCCCAGGCGATCGCAGGATACGCGCATTTGGTTCTGTGATGATGAGTTTCGCTGTGCTGAGCGAGCGACGTACTCTTTCAGTGTCCATTCCCCATGGTCCACCCCCCATTCTCTCCCTTCTTGAAGTACCTTCTTGAAGTTCGTCTGTGATCTCTTCTGTCCGTCCCGCGCGGAAAAAATTGCCGTGGCGGAGGAGAGGATGCATAGCTCACAGCGCTACGACGACTCGCGGTCCGACGTGCATGCGAACAGCCACATACGCCACCGCCGCGACGATGTAGATGGCACAGGTGTGGAGAACGGCTGTGATGAGGTGGCTGGGAGCCCGGAGGTGCACAGACGCGAAGCCGGCGTGCGAAGAGGTGAGTGAGCAAAGAAGATGAAGCAAGGGAAATAGATCTGGGTGCATGTGTGCCTGTCGTTGTATCTGTTGCCTCTGTGTGCACAGGGGGGCGTTCTGGCTTCGACGACGAGCGAGACCGATCGCGAAAGCGACACCGCGATACCCGACACTCACGTGAGACCCGCGCATGCACACACCGAACACACGCACAGAAACACACACGTGCATGCATGTTTCGAATACCAGGTGACCCAGAGCTTGACCGCGACACCGTCCCCGAGGCACCCAGGCGCAGCCACCACCACCGCCGTCCAACGACAGCCAACCGGCCCGGCGATTTCGGCCCGCCCATCTCAAGCATTCCCGCACACGAGGACCGGCTCACCGACGCAGTGAAGCTCAGCCGGCCAGACTTTCATTCGTGCATCCTGCTGATGAACCATTTGAGGCAGTGGGTGGAGGAGTGCCCGGACATTCGCGACTTCACGCATCACGAGGGGCGGATGCTGGTAGGCATCTCGTCGGTGGTGCTGGACGTGCTGTCGGACATGGTGACGGCCAGCATGATCGAGAACCCCAACTCGACGGCCACAAGGGCGCAGGTGCAGTGCTTGCGGAAGTGGCAGGGCTGGTTCGGTAAGCAAGGGAGGGAGGGAGGGAGAGAGGGAAAGAGGGAAAGAGCTTATGCCGTCCTGATTGGTGCTGGTTGTCGTGTTTTCAGGGGAGTTTTCGAGTGACATCCGATGTCATATCGGCCCGCGCCACCGCGTCGCGCGCGCAGCAGGTGGGCAGCACACAGGCACACACAACACACACGGCACACGTCTGTATGCAAACACATGTGATATGCACATGCCCTTCACCCTTCTCTCAGATCCCCCTCACCCCCAAGACCGGCAGCAGCACCAGCACACAATTGATCCCGCACACACCGATGACGAACTCGACACCTACATGGACCACCACAGCCAGCCACCCCAACACCGCCATAACAGCCCCGACAACAGACACGCCCGCGCAAACCGAGACGCCGTGTACATGTCTGAGAATGGCGACCGGCGTGAGCGTGAGCAGCCGACGGTGTATCGTGGTCAGGACGACGAGCAGCGGACCGCGTATCGTCGTCGCGATGTGGAGGACGGCTACGGCAATGGCAATGGCTGCGGGCGTGTGGTGCGCGAGAGGGGGGAAGAGGGGAATCGGCGTCTGGGTGAGGGTCGGCCTGGTGCGGGCCGCAATGTGTATGGAGAAAGGGAGATGCGTGAGGAGTATGCCAACGACGGGCGCGGCGGCAGGGATAATACGGCTGACAACTACCACATTCAACATGGGGACGTCCTCGACCAGGTGCATATACACGTAGAGACAGAGAGAGAGGGAGAGAAAGCAGTCGTCATGATATCCCGCGTGGATGTGGGTGTGTATTCAGGCGCCCCGTGCAGCCAGCGACCCTCCCTGTGTCTGTGTGGCTGGACGGGCTTTCTCGCGTGCTCCTGGCGATGTGCAGCAGCGGAGGCCACCCACCCAGACACACCAACAGCAGCAGCAGCAGTTGCAGCAGCGTGCGGCTCCCACTGACGCCCAGCCCACACCCACACGAGGACCCACCATCCTACCGTCTCCCCCTGCTGGCATTCCTGCATCGATTGGCATCACTGCAACGTCAAACGGCGCATCGCTGCCCCACAATGCTGATAGGAGTGACTCCATATTAGGCGAGCAGCAGCACGAGATAGCTGATCAGCAGGAGGTTCCTGTGAGGAGTCCAGATGTGGTCTCATCTCCTGAGGCAGCTGAGTACCAATCGGTGAGGCGCTGATTCGTCAACTTACCATCGATTCCATGTGATTACATCTCGTTTCTGCCCTCCTCATTGCTCTCGTACGCAGGACTCCGATATCAGTGATTGCTGGTCTCGGGCTGACTGGGCGGAGTACCGTATGTCGCAGAGTGACTGGTACGACGAACATCTCGCCTGGACGCCCGAATATGAGGAGCACGGTACGCCGGACACACACGCGGATCCGCTATGTGCGTCACATGGTGTGTGGGCCCTGCGCTGCAGGCGTGGCGATTCCTCCCTCGGCCACTGCAGTTGCTGTGCCTGAGGGCTGGCTGGGAGCTGACGACATTGAGGCTCGATTCCCCGAGGGCACCAACGACGCCACTAAGCAGCTAGCCGTGGGCCTCATTAGTCGCACCATCACCGACGTCCAGGAAGCAACCGACCTCATCCGCCACGAGCAGGAGGGCGCCGACCCTTGTGTCATGATTCGGCTGCGGAAGAAGGGCAGCAGCACCAGCAGCACAGAGGGCATCATATACCCGTTGCTGTCTCTCGTGATCGACAACAAGTCAGACCACACTATCCCGACCGTCCAGGCACAAACCCATGATAACTACCGTGGCTGTCCCGTCGCTTTGCCGCTGTGGCCCGACGGTCTGGAGGAAGGCATGATCACCGCAGTAATCGACGGAGGGGCGGATCTGACGGGAGGCAGCCGTTTATCTTGGGGCATCCCGCGCTATCAACATCCGGATATCCCATCCGAATGGCCACACACTTTTCGGCGGAGGCCCCTCCGAGTGGCCATCGCATCGATCAACCAGCCGGCATTCGAGCTGCTGATGCGACAGAGTAGCATCCGGGTCGACATGTTCGTTGTGTTGGAGCTGCCTCGTATGCTGCGTCCCCTTCTCCCCGAGTATCAGGAGGTTCTGCTGAGCATGTATCGCACCCTCGTCCATTATGACGCCACACTCGCAACCGAACAAGACGGGGATAGCATGTTGGGCAACTTAGTGCACATGGCAGCCCAGTACGCACAGGGGCACTGTGCATCGTCCTTTATCAACAGCTACCTTGACCTCATCACCCAGCACGGCGCCGATATCGCAGCATATGACCAACTCCGGCAAAAGCCACTAGACCGGGCGATCGAGTTTGGCTCTCCCATTGTGGCCGACTACCTGTGTCGCAAGCTGCCCGCTGCCGAGATCAACAGTCGAGCACAGACCGGCAGCATCAACGGTACGCCCATCTTTGCTGACCCACCCCTCGTCTGTGCTGCCGACGCGCTCGTCCAACGGTCCCAGCAACTCCAGGCAGCCAACTTGCATCTAGAGGATGATCAGCGAAGTTCCATGATCAAGACGACTATCCATTCATTACTGAAAGCGGGCGCCGACATCAGCCTAATGCCTACAGCCAGCCTCGTTGAGCGCCACAAGCGGCAGCTGATTCTGACCGAGTACACTGCGGTGCTCAACGAGCTACGGAATGTGACCATGGCAGCTGTCAACCGGGCCCTCGGCCCCCAACGGTCACTCGCTGCCTTGCTCACCCCTTTGCTCGCCGTCCGCCCATTGGATGTCTTTGCCTGGCGTATTGCATCATACCTCTTCGACATGGACAACGCCATGAGGGCTATCAGAGAGGGCATCGGCTTGCGGCACACCGACATGGCGGATCGTGTGCATGCGGCAGCGGAGCATTTCGTTCGTTCCGCACTGAGGGCCAACAGCAATCAGGAGGTGGTGGGCGTGGTGGCCAATGTGGGCGGCAGGACGGTCAGAGTGCCGCTGCAGTGTTTCGCCGTGAGGCGGCAGCACGATGGGCAGCACCGGCTGCTGGGGCTGCGCGAAGTGGTCCACAGGGCACGGTTGGATGAGGCGGACCGACACGGCGTAACTGGTGTGGAGAAGGACTTCAACACCCACCTCGGCGACGCCGACTGCCAGTTTCATTGGCAGCAGCTGGGGTACATGGATGACGACGCGTTCGTCTCGCTGGGCCTGACGTGAAGAGCTGGCCGGCTGACGGGTGTTGACTGACGTTTTGTAGCGCTTTGTCTGTGCATAGGGGGGTTGGGGATGCATTGGTTGCTGACTGCAAGGTCTGGTGTGTGATTGACCCACGAAAGCGTTTCAACGTTGGCCATCGATAAGCAGCATTGTGAACTCAACAGCACATTCTCTTAAGTTGTCTGTACATGTATGTACGAATGTATGTATGTACGTACACAGAGCCGATCTATCTGTCTGTCTGTCTGTCTGTCATCTCTGGCCTGTCTACGCCCAGGCGTCCATCACACGTGCGGGGGTCACCTGAAAGATCCACACAAACATGGATGGATGCACCATGCAGCAGTGGGTGCGGTCCCATGCTGGTTCACCTCACCTGCTGCGACGCGCTGGCTGCGGGATTATTGACGATTGGCTGCTGCTGTGCTGACATGGCTTCAGTCAATCAATCAATCAATGTACACACGCACACACAAACCCGTTCGTGTCGTGCACTGCACTGCACCCAGCCAGTCAGCCATGTGTGTGTCTATGTGTGTGTACCGTTGTGTTGGGTGCTGTCTTGTTCCTGCTGCCGGTGTGTGTATGCCTTGGTCAGCTGTGCGCACTTGACTTTGCAGCCATACAGAAACGACAGGTACTCCTGCACATTCACACACAGAAATCGATGAGCGCACACGCATCTGCTTGGTGGTACCTCAAGCACAGAGATCTCCGATACAGTGAGGACTTTCTGACGAGAAGACAGCAGGTGTGCCAGAAAAGAGATCAGAGCGATTGCCGCAAACACCAGCTTCAGACCGCTCTCAAGATGAGCAACTGCGTGTGTGCAGACAGGCAGACAGACAGACAGACAGACAACAGACAGCCATGGATGGGTGCCTCTCCCTCTGTGTGTGAGCGAACCGGTCTGCATGTGTGTGCCGATGGTGTTCATCTGCTCAATATACACTCGTGAGCTGCACACAAGCACATGTGGATGGGTGCGTGTGGCGGGCTGTGTGTGTAAGTGTTTACACACCTGGGCAGCATTCGGATGCACATGTCCTGCAGGCTGGCCGATGTGCAGATTGCCACCACCGACAGCAGCAACGCACACGCGACGTACGCAAAGACGTAATACCGATCTGCACACACACAGGGAAGCAGACAAGGTCTGTGTGTGGGTCTGCCAACACACACACTCCCACACACATACCTGTCACATTTGCGCGTTTGTTGTAGGCCCGCCGGGCCTTGTCGGCCGATTGCTGCCTACACACACACACGACAGACACATGCACACGAGAGAGCATGTAAAGCCACTTGGGCGTGTGTACGAATATCCATAAGTTGAGTGGGTACTCTTTTGTCTTGTGTATCATGGTCTCTGTGTCCTGTTTGCAACTGTGCAAAGCGGTCTGCACGCGCCGGTCGATCGTGTGCATTATCTCTGAGTGCAAATCCTGATATCAGGATTGATGCATACAATACACGTTGAGGGAGACGCGTAGAGAGGGAGGGAGGGATGGATGTGCGTGTCTGTGTGTGTCAGAGAGTGTGCCAATGTGCCTGGATTCGGTTGGCTATCTGTGATGTGTATGCGCCGCTGGCAGTCGCGGCGTATTGCGTAGTGGGCTGGTCGTCGTTGAACGACCTGCAAAGTAAATAAAGTGTGTCTGTATATGGGCCTGGATGTTTCTTGAGTAGGGTCCGTACGATTTGGTGGTGACGGTGAGCGGCGATGAATTGGGCGACATGTGCGACGACAGCAAGTATGTGGAATCTGGTGCTCACAGAGACAGAGACAGACCGAGAGAGAGAGAGAGAGGGCGTTTGTCTGCCAACACACGTGTGCATGCTTTCTGTGTGTGTGTGTGTCCGTACCTTTGGCACCAGGGATATAGATGGGCATCAGATCGAAGGCATAGCTGCAGACATACGCACAATCATATGCACATAACATACATACACAGAATGAATGAGAGGAGAATGCTTCGTCCGCACACAAGTCAACCCACCCACCCGGTGTCTATTTTGCTCGTTAGCATCTGGGTCGTCTGACATAACACCTATCAATCAATATGACCACACACACAGAGAGACGCGCACACGAGGGAATGGGAAATGTGGGTGCACAAGGAAAGCTCATGATGCACTGACTCACTCACCTTGATTCTCTCCTCTTCTGTCGGCATTTCGTCCACTTTGCTCAGCAGAAACCGCAGCCTACATATCGATGAACGCATGTGTGTTGGCTGCTGTGTGTGTGTGTGTGTGTTGACTTGTCCTTGTTGGGTACGCTCTTGTGGATCCTCTGCACCACACTGAGTGTCCGCCTGAGTGCATCCCATCCACGGATGAATGCACAAAACACACAAATCGCCGCCCCACACAGTCACGCTCATGTGCGTGCGTCAGGCAGGCTATGGTTGTGTGTGTACTTACTTGTTGAGGGCTTGTGTGACGGGATCCAGCATCACTGTACAGTACGCACACAAATGTGTGTATATGTCTGTGCATCCTGGATGCCTTTCTCCCTCCCCCCTCTTGCTCTGTGTGTGTGGGTGTGTGGGTCTGTGTGTGTACCGAGGATGAGGTCAACTTGGTGTGCCAGCTCGTCCAGCACGCCGTCGATGTCATAACCATACTAACGTTAACACAAGAGAGAGCCACATACAAATGCAATGCTTTCATATGTGTACGTATCACTCTCTCTCTCTCTCTCTCTCTGTGTGTGTGTGTGTGTGTGTGCTGCAATTAATGCGCTCTCACGTCCACATCGCCATCTGTGAGTCCCGGCGTGTCGATGAAATCCACCAGGGATAGACTACATCCATACACACATACACACAAATACACACAGAGTGACAGAGAGAGAGATATACTCATCCATCCATGTGTGTGTGTGTATGTGTCCGTGTGTGTGATCTTCCTCTGAAGTGCTTGCCTTTCAGACGGGCAGGTGCGGCAGATGAGCGCGTCAGTGAAACCTGCACCAATCATACCAATGAGTGCACTGCACATCACATGTGACCCGTCCATCCATCCCATCACACGCGCACCGCACCTGGATGTTTGTCGGCGATGTGTCTGAGTTGGGGGAACAGCTCGACGGTCGACACGCCGGCAAGCTCTGACGACGTACGCACACCCCTGCAGACACACACACATGCGACGCAACACACACATCTCCACAGATACGTACGTACACGACACAAACAGAGAAGAGGTCATTCATTCGGTGCATACTTGGTGACAATGGCGAAGTGCCTCGTTTCTGAACGAACATACACCAGACCACACACATCAAATTAGTGTGCTGGATGGATGGTCGGGTGAGTGTCTGTCTGTACTGACACACCGATGCCCATGCCGGTCTTCTGAATGGGCTCGCCGATCAGCCAGTTGATCAACGTCGACTTGCCTGCCGAAATGTTCCCGAGAACCATGACCATGGCCCTCTCGCGAAACGGCAGTGACACACCCACACCCACACGGCGGCCTGCACTCCACTCATCCACCCGTGTGTATCGCATACACACACGCACAAAAAGACAGACAGACAGACAGGTCTGTGTTTGCGTGCGTGTTGTGTATGGATGGATGTGTGCCGTACCGATGGCTGCGAGTGCCATTTGGTTATCCTGGGCTGAGGGATCTGAGTCGGTGGTGTCACCGCCGCTTCCGTGATAGAGAGCACACAGCTGCATACAAATGCACACACACGTAGCACACAGCATGATGTGATGCACATGCAATGAGCCATCCATCCATCCATCCGTGAGTAGATAGATAGATCTGCGGTGGGTATGTGTGTCATACCTACCTCTCGCATAATCTCGGCGGTCATCATGTCCAAATCTCAACGCACGAGTGATTGATTGATGGCAATATCGGGACACAAAGCCTCTCAAGTGCACGGTTTCACGGAATACCCCTGAAGCTGGCGTTTGGTTCTGTGTACGAGTGAAGTGATGGACGGCGATGTTAGTTGCCGAATGCTGAGGTGCTGATCTGTAGAGATTGTTGATGCCGGCTCGGTACCGTAACGTCCCTCAAGACAAGGTGGGAGCGTGCATATGGGCAGGCGGACAGGCAGATCAGATGCGCACACGGACGGCGCCCTCGATGTGTGTTGCCTTGTATGTTTGCAAACAAAAGCATGAGCATCACCGAACTTTTTGCCCTGTGTGTGTGTGTGTTATGTGTGCGCAGCCGGATCCACTGGAGCCCAAGATGGACCACTCACACCTCCTGCTGTCCAGCGTGACCAGCGGTAGGGAGGGAGGGACACACATACGCACACACTGACCGAGGGAGGGAGGGAGAGGGGCACGCACTGACGCCCAGCGCACACATTCACTCTCTCTCTCTCTGTGTGTGCGTGTGTGTGTGTGTGTGTGTGCGTCCATGTCAACAGGTGTGCTGGTTTCAGTGATATGCACGCCGTTTGATGTGGTCAAGAACTACACTCAGGGCTCCACCAACCTCGTCAACCGACTCAATGTCAAGTCAGTGCGCTGACACGCACACACACGACGACCGCACACACGATTGCATCTTGGGTGGTGGTCCATTCTGTGGCAGACCGTATCGTGTCTTGCAAGACGTCTATAAAAACCGTGGGCTGCTGGGCTTCTGGACAGGACTGACCCCCACACTGGCCGTCATCCTGCCCGCCAACCTCATCTTCTTCGGACTTTATGAAGTCAGTGAGCCAGAAAGGGGCAATGCGGACAAGTCACCGCCATTTCTCCCGTGTGTGTGTGTGTGTGTGTGTGTGTTGTTCAGCGATGGAAGAAGAACTGGTGGGAAGACAGACAGACGAACAGAAAAACAGACAAGAGTGCATACGTTTCCCTGTGTGTCTGTGTCTGTGTCTGTGTTAATCACACAGGGGGCCAGCAATCGCAGGTACGCACGACCCGAACTCACACACGCAATATCATGGTGTGTGCTGTGTCTGTCCATGGATGGGCGCGGCGTGTGTGTGTGCTCTGTGTGCTTGTATGTATGTTCTGTGGTGTAGGCGTTCAAGCCAGGAGTACGGTCGTGTTTGTCGTCGCACCGTTCGAGTATATGCGCACTCGGCGGCAAGTGAGTGTGCTAAGCGATGGGAAAGGGAGGCATCTGGACTGTAGTGACACTCCTCCTAAACCCTTTTATCTCTCTGTATGTATGGTGTGCGTGTCTGTCTGTGTGTAGGTCGAGATGGGTATGGGCAAGACTGGGTTCGGCCTGGTCAAGGAAGCCGTCCAAACAGAGGGCCTCTACAGGTACCTACATACATACCTGCCACACACACACACGCACATCGACCCGTCCATCCCATCCACACACATTCATTCATTCGTCATGTGGCGTGTGTATGCATATGTGCATCCATCGATCAGCATGTGGCGAGGCGTGTTCCCCACTCTGGTTAGAGACGTGCCCTTCTCCGCCATCTACTGGGACCTCTACGAGAGAGGCAAAGGCCTCATACGCTTGTAAGTTACGTGAGCCATCGACCCGCCCATGCCATGCACACACATGTGTGTGTGTGTGTGCATCGATCGCATCAATGAAACCAATGCAGGTTGGACGATCGTGTGGAGGAGCGGCATCCCGTGGTGAGGGGCTTCCTCTACCCATTCGTCAACGGTGGTCTGAGTGCTCTTGTGGCCAGTGCTGTGACACACCCGTAAGCATCCATCCATCCATCTCATCTGTCCATGAGAGATGGGTGGGAGCCATGAATGAATGAATGCATCTTTCTACTATCTGCCTGTGTGTAGATTCGACGTGGTCAAGACACGACTGCAGGTCGGTTCGTTCCGGAGGGAGTGGGTGTGGGAGTGGGTGTGCATCCATGGATGGATGGTGATGATGTGTGCAGGTGATCGGGCGGCACTCCACCATGCGCGGCAACAAGATCCGCATCTCCAAGGGCACAGTTAACATGTCAGCGGCTACCACACACACACACACAGGGGAGAAATGGATGTCCACAGACGCATGCAGGTGTGGCTGATGGTGTCTGTGCGGCGTTTCTGTGTATGTGTTGCAGGATGAAAGACATCTACAAGGAGGGCGGCTACAGGGCATTCTGGGTTGGGGTAGTGCCGCGATGCTTGAAGATCATGCCGTCGTGCGCTGTGCTGCTTGGCACTTATGAGCTGACCAAACACCTCTTCACTGACGAGACAAGACAGGTACGTACACAGACGCACACACGACACCATGTGTGTGCGCATCATGCGCTCACACGTATATGCCTGTTTGTGCAGCCGACGCCCTCGATGCCCTCGCCCTCTCCTGTCAAGGTCATAAAGCCCTCACAGTATGCGATCCATACAGTCGGTCTGCGTGAGAAGATCGACTCACCTGCCGCGCAGATCAGCAGGTGAGTGAGGGAATACACACGGACACACACATATTTGTCCATGGCAGCCAATGTCTACGTCTTTGTCTTCGCAGGTTAGGCCCGGTTGCGATGGAAGTCAGCTGATTGTTGCGGGGGCAGTGTTTGCATGGCGTGTGGGTGATCGACACTGACACATTCACACTGCATCTATACCGTTTTGACAATTTTGGTGCGTCAGTATATGTTTTTGTATGTTCACACAGTGTCACACGTGTACCTCTGCTCAGGTACCCTCTGTCACGCTGCACCCACAGGGAGACGAATGCAGTCGATCGATCAGTGTGTAGATAATCTGTGGAGACAGATACATATTATATTGGCCTGCTCGATTCGACGGTGTCGCGAAGCGAACATTCTCTCTGTTGAGCTGAGCGGGGTGTAGCGGTACGATTGTATAATTCTCTCATTGCACACGTGGACACCCTTCAGGCTAATCGAATGACATGAGTGAGTGATTCATGTCACTCATTCGTCTGTGGAAGTACATACGTTCCGTCTGTGTATACAACGAATCTTCGTTGACGTACGAATGTGTCTGTAGTCTTCTATCTCTCTCTGCACGTGTCTGCACAACTAATCAGCCCACCCACACCGCACATCCACACAGAACCACGCAATGCAATCAGCCAGCCCAACAGACAACAGACAATCGACAGCCACCCACTGACTTTGTTGATTGACAAACAACACCGACTGGGACATAAGAAGGACAGACAGGTCGGCCGGCCCTCAACGGGCCGGCATGTGATCATCCATCCACTAGGTCAACCCCTCCCTCCCTCTGTCTGTCTGTCTGTCTGTCGCTGGTCCACCAGATTGATGTGACCAGTCGCACCAGCCCACAGAGCGACCAGAGAGGAGAGCAGACGAACATACCGATCCACCAAATCACACCGCACCCCCCGCACTTGCTGCCGATCGATAACCCATTCGCACACAGCCACATGATGCGCCTGCACTGAACTGAACTGCACGCATAAGCGGTAGGGTGAGTGTGAGTGAGTGAGCGAGTGAGTGAGTAGTGGACAAATAACAAAGCGATCGTCATCTTAATCCGATAGACACTGTACACATCCGCACACACATGATGGATGACACGCCCTGTCGCCATAAAGGCCGACAGGCAGACAGGTAGGCAGGCAGGCAGAGAGGCCGAGAGGTGGGCGGGCATAAAATACCCACACCCCACAGACACCCACCGCACCGCACAGCACGCACACCCACACGAAGATAGATCAACATGCAGATTGTCGAATAATAAGTGTCGTCACGTCGCTGGCATAGATAGCTAGGGCAGTTGTAACGGCAGCCGCGATGATGAAGTGGAGAGGCTGCTGGGGGAGCCCTCCTGCCGCGCCATCGGCTGACGGATCATGCAGGAGCCCCGCGCGCTGTCCTTGCTGCACACATCACGCAGACACACACCCGGCAATCTTACCCTGAACCACCACCACCACACGGCAGACAGGCGAGGGTAGGAGGAGGGGATGGGTTGATGATGTGCATTCATTCTCGCCGTTGTGTTGTCTGACTGACCAGTAAAGGTATCTCATGACACAGGCCCCAATGAAAGAAGCGAACAAAACCAACGATATCACGATAGCTGACACAGACACATACAGACACCTCCACATCTCTACACATCTCCCTCTGTGTGTGTCGGGTCAGCCTCCAGAGTGCCAAAGCCAAGGTCACCACCTACCGGCGATCATCAGGCCGTTCCCGCCCTTGCCGCCCTTGTCGCTGTGACCATCCACCTGCACACAGCACGACACACGCACAGACAGACAATCGGTGGTCGTCCATCCACCTGTGTGTGTGTTTGGCGTACGTTGTTCAGCTGCCCGTCCACCCAGTCGACAATCAAGTTGACGCCCGTCTCGCCCTCGTAATTGCCGCCGTGCGCAGTCGTGGCATTCATCCAGTATCTTGACGGCCGCTCGACGGCCGCCTTCACGCTGCCGTCTGTGAAGAGCTTGAAGGTGGGAACACTATCGATATGGTAGCCATCATCATCGCAGAGGTCAAGCCAACCGTCGAAGGTGCCGTCTGCACAGTCGATCTTGATCAGCTTGACGGCAGGGTCGTGTGTAGCCAAGATCTGGGTGACGTTGTCGAAGACAGGCAGCATCCGCTGGGAGGGTAAACACCATGACGCGTAGAACATGACCAGCACATGGGGACTCCCCTTGATGTGTTCGTCAAAGTCTGCCTCCGTCGCCTCAATCGCCGCCACCGAGGTGTCACTTCCCGCAGCTGGTGCAGGGGTCGTCACCGAGGTGTCATTTTCTGCAGCTGGTGCAGGGGTCGTCACCGAGGTGTCATTTTCTGCAGCTGGTGCAGGGGTCGTCACCGAAGTGTCATTTTCTGCAGCTGGTGCAGGGGTCGTCACCGAGGTGTCATTTTCTGCAGCTGGTGCAGGGGTCGTCACCGAGGTGTCACTTCCCGCAGCTGGTGCAGGGTCACCACGAACGGACATCAGATAGCCGCTCACAAGAAGGCCAGCAAGGACCAAGAGGCAAGGCTGCTGCATTGGTTTGGTTGGTGGCGAGTGGCTGGGCTGGAAGAGCGAGTACAGCGGCAGACAATGGACGATGGATGTCAGCTACGAGGCGGGCGACTCGGTGGCAGCAGTCAGTCTTGCACACCTGCAGTGCAATGCAACAAACAAGACACACAAGACACACAGACAACATCTCTCTCTCCCCGATCTCTCCGAACAAGAGCTCGCTCTCAGCTCTTTTCCGGTCAGCTCGCTGCTGCCGCTCCTGACTAGCCTGTGTAGGTTCTATGGAGCCTCTCTGCTGCTCATTCTCTCTTGTCTCCGTCTGAGCATCCTCAGCTCGCAATGCGAGCTTGGAGGAGGCGAGAGCTTGGAGGAGAGAGCTTCTGATGGATGATTCGTTGGAAGATCTAGGCATCGAGAATCTCTTTGACGAGCCGAAGGAAGCACAAAACCAAAGCAGGTCCGCATCTCGAACGGCACTCCATCATCGATTTCTTGATTGTCTTGGTTGTTGTGCAGGTCAGGAGGCATCCGCCGAGCAGCCCCTGCGCCAGATAGTGACGGCGCCAGCGCCGAGCCACAAGCAAAGCGGCCACGAACAGATGCCACCTCGCCCAACAGAGGTGAATGGAAAAGACACAGCCACGTGTTTTGATGTGTTCATCGATTCTTGCTTATGTATTCCGTCCTTATAGCTGTTGGCAGAGAGGGCGCTGAGGGACCGCCCGCTGTCAGTGTCAGTGTCAGTGGCCGGCGGCGCTCACCGAACACTCGCATGCTCGGCAACGTCACGGACGCACAGCTACACGCGCTGGACAGAGGCGAGAGAGAAAGAGCACAGACGCGGAAGATGGAGGGACCTCGACACGCACCTGCACACATCGCATCGATAGGGTGTGTGTGTGTGTGTGTGTGTGTGTGTGTCAGGTGAGTTGATTGAGCTGCTGAGGAGTGCCATCCAGCAGCATGATGACATCAAAGATCCGGTGGGCAGACAAGTGCTCGGAGCGGTGATGGTGGATTGATTGACTGACTGACGGTGTTTTTGTCCTGGCTTTGTGTGGGTGGTCTGTCTGTGCAGGTGCATAGTGCGTATGAGAAGAAGCTTGCCGTCATTCGTGCTGAACAGGCGGCAGATAGCTCGAATGGCTGATGGGCGCTGACTCATCCATTCCATCGATGTGTGGAGACAGACAGACAGACAGACGGACAACCATGGCGGGACGGCCACTGGCCTTGGAGAAATGCGTACGCTCCATCCTCATGAAATTAAATCACACATTTGAGTGTCACTGACACACAGATGTCTGTGTGTGTGCGTGCAGGTGTGGCTGTCTGGCTGAGTGGCCGATGGCTTCGCCGCGCTGATGGTGACGATGCGGCCGTCGAGTGGCGCGATGGCCCTCTCCCCCACTGCCGCTGAGTGCTGCTCGTCTGTGTGTGTGTGTGTGTGGATCCATTTGTGTGTGGGAGGCAGGATGATCGGCCGATGAGTCGACGGACTCCCTCTCTCTGTCTGTCTGTCGCTCTGTGTGTGTGAGGGGACGGCTGTCGTGTGTTCGTCGGCCTTATCTCTCTGTGTGGACTGTGTGGGATCTTGCCTGTGGGCCGTCTGTCTGCTGCCATGAGTGTGTCGGCCGGTGAGTGGGGAGCGGGGGAAATATGACAGACAGACAGACAGAGAAGGGGACGATTGGCTGATTGGCTGCACAGAGAATCGCTGTGTGGTGCGGTGTTTGGGATGCCGTCTGTCTGTGTGATGCCATTGTGCGAGGGTTGTGCGCGAGAGTGTGTCGATCTCTCGTTGGTGCATCCGTCACAGACGGGCGGCTCACAGACAGACAGGCAGGCCAACACACACCTACACACTGATCTGTCCGTTTCACTGCTTGGAGAGAGTGTTTGGGTTCCCAGCCGTCTCCCTGTGTGGGCATCTTGCCTGCCGCGCGGCAACCATAGAGTATCAGCCCATGTGTGGCGTCGGTGCTTTGGGGGTGCCGGGTGGCGACAGAGATGCCCACAGAGGGGGTGGCAAATGAGTGAATGGATGGACACACACCACGACTGCTTACCCACCCCACCAAATACGGCAGTCGTATGTGGTCTCTTTGCCAAGCGTCTGTATGTCATAATTACGCACCCACGGACACGCACTTTGTCCATGTCGTCACAGCGCACACATGAGTGCATGGTCGGATGGCTGATGTGGGTTTATGTTGTGTGTGCCTGTCTGTTTACTGCGGGGAGGGGTAGGTGTGTGTCTCTCTCTCTGTGCCGACGGATGGTGGCTGGCGCATTGCTATGTGTGTGTGAGAAGGAGGTACAGTGTGTGTGTAGGGGTCTTTTCGATTCCCGTCGATGTGCATCGTGTGTCGGTGTGCTGGCTGTCCCAATGTTGATGGCCATCTGACACTTTGAGTGATGATCCTTACTCTCTGTGTGCGGTGGCCGTCGAGCATCTCACAGAGAGACCGACATCATACAGCACACACAATCAAAGAAGGAAAGACACACAGACATACTTCTTGCGTAGCTGGCCGGCTGGTGATGGTGGATTCCCTGTCTATCTTTCCGGTTTGGTGTGTTGTCCGTCGCCACTCTGGATGGCGTGATTATGTGTGTTGCTTCTAACTGAGTGGTTGACGTATGTGTGCGCTACAGTGGGGGTCGCTGATTGGTGTGAGACCGATATTTGCTTCCCTTTGGTGTGGGTGTGCACCGTGTGTTGGTGTGCTGACTGTCAGACGTTCTATCGTCACCTTACATAGTGTCGATCATCACTTGTGCGCTGGCCATCGAGCGCCTTACATAGATACACGACACCCACCATGAATGACATGTGTTGACGCTCTGTTAAGTGAATGAAATTGCGCTTAGCCGACACTCACAATTTGCCGTCGTATTCTCATATCCATCCCATTCTGTGCACCTCACCGTAGAGTGACAGCGTGTGACTGTGTCTGTCATTCGCTTGGAAGAGTGTATGACATGGTGTGTCGTGTATGTGGTATGGTGTGTGGTTTTCCTGCAGCCGTTCTGTGAGCATCTTTGGTGGGACAGTGCTGGGACGCGGCAATTTTAGAGTATGAGCCCATGTGTGGTGTCGGTGTTTTGGGTTTAAAGAGTGGCGACAGAGAGTCGAAAGAGATGCTCGTAGACAGAAAATTTGACACACACACAGGCGTCTGCCTGATTATGTTATTAACGGCAGTGGCAGTGGACGTGTCCTCTTCTGCCGTCCGTCCGTCTGTCTACCCGATGACAGTAGGCGTTCATTCTCACTCTCTGTGTGCCGTGGCCATCAGCGGACAGACACACACAAGCTACCACCCCCAAACATATAGATAGACAGAAGATAGTAGTGCTGACGAGGAGCAATAATTTATGTGTTTAGGCTTTAGGGCTTAGGGTTAGGGCTTAGGGCTTAGGGCTTAGGGTTTAG